AAAAGTAGTTTCCTTCTCCCTGCCCTGTTCTTGTTTTGCTTCAATTTGCTTATTTTGTGTGTTTCAATTTCCAGCTTCCATTCTGCAAGTTTGGCTCACACCCTCGAACCCATGGCTGTCTGCTGCCCACCAGAGGCGGGAAACTTCCAGAACGGAAGAGCCAGCGGGAAGATCTGAGGGGGTGGCAGGCTTCCTGGGGACTCTGCCCCCGCTGCTTTGCCCCTGAGCTGAGCCCCTCGCTCTGCTCTGCACCCTCCCTCCCGAAGAAGAAGAAGAAGACGGCCAGCCCAAGCCATGCAGGAGGGGCTTGGAGAGGTTCCAGAGTCCGCCTGGGCTGCTAAACGTGCTCTGGTTTGCCCTCTCTAGAAAGAGACCCGAAGTCTTTGGAGGGGGAGAAGGCAGCCCCCTCCCCTTGCCTCGTGCAGAAGAGAAAGCCGTGCAGACTACTGCCGCTGCCCCTCCCTTCTTGCCCCGCCCCGCCCTCCTCCTCCACCCCGTCCCACGGGGCCGGGCGTGGCAGGCCCCTGGCCCTTGGGGCTTCTCTGCTGCGGGTCCGCTGTGGAGCAGCTTCCCTACAGCTAGTCCAGGTGGCTGAACCAGTTTCAACCTGTCTGTCCCCTCACCCCAGTTTCTAGCATCTCTTGTCTTCTTTCCCACGCTTTTCTGTTGTAGGAGTATGGGGTCTTTTTAAAAAAAAATCCCTTTTCTGAACTTCTAGTGGTACTTTGGGTTAAGTGAGATTACATACTTGAATGCAATTCCATCCTGTTAACCTGGAAATGAATACTGTATGTCCATTGGCCTATGAAGCGTCTCTCCCACGAGAATGTGGGTTTCCTGATGGCAGGGATCTGTTTCGTTCAGTGCATGCTTCCAACCCCTCGACAGGGGCTGGAACGGAACACATGACCGACCTTGAATGAGGGACCTAAGTAGGATACATGATTGTATCCACAAAAGGCACTCGAGAAGTAACTATGTAGCACATTCAGAAATATACATGGTCTAACGTCTGCTTATTTACTTTTAACTTTTTGGGGCCATCTGTTGCCATGGAGAACATTACAAATAGATGCTCGAAGCCCAATTTGGAGATGTTTTAATTTAACTCAGTTTTAAATTAAAGCTGATTGCCATGTGTGGATTGCACGTGAGTTTTATTTTACAGTCACCATCCAATCTCTTATGTGGCGGACTTCCACATGATCGATCTAGAGAAGTGATGACCTAGGTGTGGCTGTGTCCTGTTGGCTGGCTGAACACAGTCCGTTCTCCAGGCGGCCCGCGGTCCGGCCTGTGGTTCTAGGCTCTGCCTCTAGGTTCTAGACCTGGGGCAGTGCCCAGGCCTGGCTCCCTCGGTGTCAGCTGAGGGTGGCCCTCAGCTTCGAACTTCCAGGACTTGGGTGTGCATGGAAAACACTTTTCTTCTTACTTCATCAAGACCCACCAGAACTCATCTTTCAGATCCCACCCCAACTCATCTTTCAACGCTCATCTCTCTGAGGAAACCCCTTTGACTAGCCTGAATATAGTTTTTTGCCTCTTTTTAAAAAATATTTTATTTATTTATTTTTAGAGACAGGAAGGGAGGGAGAAAGAGAGAGAAACATCAATGTGTGGTTGCTTCTCATGTGGCCCCCACTGGGGACCTGGCCCGCAACCCAGGCACATGCCCTGACTGGGAATCGAACCTGCAATGCTTTGGTTCGAAGCCCACATTCAACCCACTGAACTACACCAGCCAGGGCATTTTTTTGCCTCTTGATGTTACGGGACAAGGGACCTGGCCCTGAGGGGGTCTGCCCGGGGCCGGCTGGTAGGGTGTGGGTTCTTGACTTCCTGCAGGAAAGTCTCCACAGCACGAGTCCATGTGACTATAAGGGTACATTTGTTGGAGCTGGGGGCAGGGAAACGAGGAAGGGCTTAGCAGAGAAGCAGCAACAGGAGATGCCCAGGCTGGGCTGCTGTTGGCTCACTGGGAAATCAGAGAAAAGGGGGCCTGGGACACAGGGTCGGGGGTGAGGCTGGGGTGAGCTGCAGCTGCCCGTGGCTCTGGGTTGCAAGTCTCGTGAGGTTACTTCAGAGTTCAGGAGATGCGTGCCTGGGGTGGTGGGGGTGGGAAGAAGTGGGGAAGACGAGGGGAAAGGGAATGGCTCCCCAGAGGGAGAGCAGTGCTGGGTCCTTCCTCTTGAGGCTTCTCTCTCTCTCATGCAGGAGGGAATCTTAGGGGAGGTCTCAGGGTAGGGTTTCAGCAGACTACTCATCAGCTTTCCGGGTGTGCTCTTTCAGGGTCACGGTTTTTACCAGATTGGTCAGTGTTGGGGCAGGGGGTCATTAGCCAATGCCATTGGTCCTGGCATCGGCCAGCTGGTTTTGCTGCCTCTCTGGGCCTGGAGCTAAAGTATACCTGAGGCCTAGGTGTTATCTCTAGGGCAGTGACCTTCTGCACCTGGCTGTAAATTGCTCAGCCAGTTTGCTCAGCTATGTCTGTGTCCCTATCCACCTGCCGCAGTTCACTGGCCTGTCTCACTGAGAAGCACCTCATTCGTACCCCACTTACAGCACTGAGCACGGTGGGCCTGGCGTCCTGGCAACGACGTCCCAGTCTGGTGCATTGTCTATCCGGCCATAACGCACAGGCAGCACTCAAATGCTTGTGTCCTCGAATTAAATGATTGACCTGAGACCCCACCCTTTCACTTGCTCCCGTCCTAAAGGCATGAAGGTAATTATACTTAGCAGTCTAGGTTTGTCAATAGATTTTCTGGAAATTCTTATCAGCTACGGGGACACTGTTGCGTCTGAAACTTCAACTCCTTTTCAAGGGAGATCTTTCTGAACAGAGCAAAAAACACGCCCCTGGCCCCGGGAATGTGCTTCTTGTGAAAATAATAGCAAGCTAAAAATGCTTTTAAAAAGCTTAGATAGGAAAGACCTGATAAAAAAAAAACAAAACTGTTAGCCCTGGCTGGCGTAGCTCAGTGGATTGAGGGTGGGCTGCGAACCAAAGCATCGCAGGTTCGATTCCCAGTCAGGGCACATGCCTGGGTTGCAGGCCACAGCCCCCAACAACCACACATTGATGTTTCTCTCTCTCTCTCTTTCTCCCTCCCCTCTCTCTCTAAAAATAAATAAATAAAATATTTTAAAATAAGAAAGAAAAGGCACTTACTTAAAATTAAAAAAAAAACAACTGTTACAATGCTGAGCCACAGAGTGAGTTATAGGAAGATGAGTTCCCAAAGATGAGACTATCGTCTGAAATCAACTGCCCGGAGGTCCGTTCCCACACGGGGTCGAGGGGAGTGCGAACTCGGCAGGGGAAGTGCAACAGCGTGTCAGGAAACGCTGAAAACACTCTCCCCTATTAACTCAAGATGTGCTCATTTGGGGGAACTTAGTCTAAAGTATAAAGATTCTTGCACCTGTTCATCCCAGCGCTGTCTGTCAAACAGGGACAATGCAGGTATCTGATGACAAAGGGATGGTTAAATGAAGGCAGGTTCTCATAATGGAATGAATAGAGGCAGCCATTAAAAACGTTCCAATAATGGCCTTGGCTAGTGTGGCGCAGTGGATTGAGCTCCAGACTGGGAATCAAAGGGTTGCTGGTTCAATTCCCAGTCAGGGCACATGCCTAGGTTGCAGGCCAGTTCCCCAATGTGGGGCACGTGAGAGGCAACCACACACCGATGTTTCTCTCCCTCTCTTTCTCCCTCCCTTCCCCTCTCTAAAAATAAATAAAATCTTTAAAAACAATAAAATGAAAATGTTCCCATAATGATTCAGTTTGACTTCCCAATTTTGTTTAAAGCATGATCATTATGTATATAAAATAACTGAGCAGAAATATACCAAGATACTGGCACTTTCATGGTCCGCGAACAGAACATTATCTCCAGGGCTTGGTACAAAGTGACCAGGGAAAAACCCTGAGATGTTCTGGATTACATTTCAGAGAACTGGCAAGTGGAAGGCGCAGAGCAGGGAGCCTGTCAGTGGCTGGGGGCCGGCGAACGAGACTGCTCACATTCCTGAGTGTAGGCTGGAACTCGGATTGAACTTCCAGGGGGGCTGCTTCCGCCATAATCTAAAAGTGGGGACAGTCAGGAGCCATCGAGCCCCAGCAGCTTCCCCTTCTTGTTTCCATGCGAACTTTCTAGACTACTGCCTACCACCCACCCCAAAGGAGCAAACGCTTCTTTCTTAAGGACGCTGCGCCCATCCCACAACCAGCCCTGCTTCCCCTTCTCCCACCCGCTCATCTGGAGCCAATGCACATTCTTTCCCAACAGTCTGCGTCCCCCCCCCCCCCCCCCACTGTTTGCGAACAAGAGCGGGCCGGCTCCAGGCCCCAGACACACTCCCTTCCCCACCGGGAGCTGCTGCAGGTGGTGTAGACTCCACGCCCCAGGCCGTGGTCTTCTTTTCCAGCTTGAAAGCCCCAATAAACCCGTTCTTAAAAAAAAAAAAAAAAGCGTTTCGGCCGTGGAAGTTAAAATTTCTGTTCAACAAAAAGCACAGGAAATGATTGTTCAACGCATCGAGATACAGAAAACGTGTAAGAAAGAGAAGAGCGTTCAGAACTTTTGGCTCAATGAACCTAGCTTATGTCTGAGAAAGTGGCGTGACAAGCGGTCTTATCATCTTTATAGTTTGGGTTCTGAATTTTCTAGAAGGGCTCTGTCCCATATAAGTTACGATTAGCACCTATAAAGGACAGATCGACGCTCTCCCACGGGCTTCATACAGGAGTTGCGGGCGAGCACCGGAGCAGAGTCCGGGAGACCTAACTCGGCTCTCCAGACCGAGCCCTGGCCTTCCGGGGCGGGACCGTGACGTCAGCGCGCAAAGATGGCGCCCCGCGCGCTCGGCCGGGGCCGAGCTCTCCCGAGCACGCCCGAGCGATCCCGGGAGTCTCCGAGCGCTCCCGAGCCCTCCCGAGCGCGCCCGAAGCCGAGAGGAGTCCCAGGAGCGCGCGGGCGGGAAAGCCCCGCCCCAAGCTTGGGAGCGCCGGCACTGGGGAGGGACGGCCGGATGTGAGTGGAGCGGCCATTTCCTGTTTCTCTGCCGATTTCCCCAGCTTTGGGTGGTGGCCGCTGCTGGGCTTCGGCTTCCCGTAGGCGGAAGGCGAGGCGGCGTGGACTGCGGCCCCGGCACCCTGCGTCCTGCCGCCCGCAGCCGCGCGCCCGCCTGCCTCTTGCGCCCCGAGCCCGCCGCTTCTCGCCTGTGTGCCCGGTCGCCGCCTCCGCCGCGGCCCAGCGAGCGGCCCAGATGCAGGCCATCAAGTGTGTGGTGGTGGGAGACGGGTGAGTACTCGGGCCGGGGCCGGGGCCGGGGGTCGCGGCTGCGGGTCTGGGGCCGGGGCGGGACGGGACGCGAGGGCGCGCGCGCGGGGGGCCTGGGCTCCGGCCTCTCCGCGGCGCGCGGGCGGGGGACGCGGCCGCCACCCCTCCCTGGGACCTGGCGGCGCGCGTCTGCTCCTGGCCCTTTTCTCTCGCTTTTTGGTGGGGGAGGGAGTCGCCTTAGGCGGCCGGAGGGAAAAGTGAACTCCACCCTCCGCTTTCTCCCCGCACCCGCCGGCCGCCCGGCCGGACTCGCCCCGCGGCGCCCCGCCGCCTCCCTCCGTAACTGTGGATTTCGTGGGCTTAGAGAGTTCCTTTTCTTAAAAAAAAAAAAAAAAAAGACTCTTTTCTTGGCTTTTGTAGGAACCTCTCGAGCCCCACTGAGAGCATCCGTGCGGCCCGGCGGTCAGTCGGTCCTCACTGCCCAGCGTTTGCCTGGCTTAGTTTGGGGACCTTAAACTGATTGACCAGGGGTTCCTTCCACGGGTCCTCGGCCCCTTTTAGGATTTAAAAGAATGATCACTTTTGCTCTTTTGGTGGAGAAAATTTTAAGGTTCTAGCTGCGAGGAGCTGGATGCAATTAAGAAGGTTCCCCCCCCCCCCCCGAGCGTGGTGTGGTCATAAAAAAAAAAAAAAGTGAAATTGGCCTTCGCGTCTTGCGTTAGGAATGGGGTGTAGCAGAGCAGGCTCCCCGGGCTGAGAGGCCCTGGGACTCGGGGCATTTCTTTTCGCTGCTGCCTGGTGGTTACAGGTCTTGGGGGAAGACAAGACTTGTCTTATGCAGGGGGCTGGGTTTTTTTTTTTTTTCTTCCCCCTCTCATAGAAACAAGACTCTCAGTGTAATGCCAGCAAAATTGTGTGTCTCAGCATTGCTCGAGTAGTTAAGCGAGGACAGGGAAGCCTCGAGAATGACGACCAGTTTCATGCAACTCAGGATGCAACTGGTACATTTTTTGACTCACGTCAAGTCGAAGGAAGCGTTTGGGCGTCGCTGGTGCCTCTCGTTCCTCTTCCCTAAGTCGTCGTGAGCACGGATGGTGCTTTGGCGCCTCTCCGTGAGTTTATGAATTCTCAGCGTCTGTTATTGTTAGACATTCGAAACTGTTACTGTACGTTTAAAAAAAAAAAAAGGTCAAATTGCCGATGTTTTCATATTCTAACCATCGTCGGTAACATTCCGATTTGAAAATGTTTTAAAACTAAAACAGAAGCACACGCAGCTATGTTTAGTTTATGCAATACTCGCGGATGGGGACCTCTACCGTCTTGACGGGCCCGACCAGCCCAAGTCCTTGTTGGCGGCCCGCTGGGGGATCCGGAGCTCTCCCGCGGAGCCCGGCCCCACCGCTCCCGCGGAAACCCCGCGGTGGCGCCCCCCCCCCCAGCGCTGCCTCCAGGGGGCGTCGTGAGGTTAAACCAGACGCCGGCCTGCGGGTCCCAGCTGCCGAGTCACTGCTGCGGGGCTGGTGCTCGCGGGCGCTGCCCGGCTCTGTGAGGGCAGCGCTGGGCGTGAAACCCGGTTGCTGGCCTTGCGTGTTTTAGTTTTTTTAATACAGTATTTGATATCGGGGTTGACTAGGGCTGAGTGATATTCAGAGTGAATATCATTAAAATCTTCAACACGAACATTTTAAGCTATTTATTTAATGGACAGTGGAGCAAACAGTACTTTAGCACAAAACTTTAGATGCCTCATTTTCCATACCCGAAAAACCCCATTTTTCTGCTTTCACCCAAATAAAACGTCCCTGGCGATGAAGTTGGGATGCTGGCTGTAAACGTGGGTCTACATTTAGTGGGGCTAACACGTAGTGTGGGGATTGCAGGCAGTTACGGGCAGATTGAGCAATGAAGGCAAACGGGTTCCACAAATGGCAAAGCTTCCTCATTTAAAAAATGTTCTTGGGAGTCCTGGCAGGGGCTGCCTGGCGGTCAGAGCACCCCCCCCGCAGGCCAGGGCTGCGGTTCCATCCTGCTCGGGCGCACGCAGGAATCGGATCCACCAGTGAGGGCATCGATGAGAGGAACCAGTCTGTGTTTCTCTTTCTCCCTCTCCCTCCCGCCCTCCTTCCTTCCCTTTCTCTCTTTAGAAATCAGTCTAAGTTAAAAAAATTAAAATATTTTTAAAAGCTGTGTCATAACCGTGTTATAATAGAATCAATTAACATATATTCTTCTAATGGATTGTTTCCTATATTTTTTTTTTAACAGTTTATCTCCAACATTTTTAAACAGTTTTTTTTAAGATTTTATTTATTTATTTTTATAGAGGGAAGGGAGGGAGAGAGAGAGAGAGAGAGAGAGAGAGAGAAACATCAATGTGCGGTTGCTGGGAGTCATGGCCTGCAACCCAGGCATGTACCCTGGCTGGGAATCGAACCTGCAATGCTTTGGTTCGCAGCCTGTGCTCAATCCACTGAGCTACACCAGCCAGGGCTGATTGTTTCCTATATTGTGATTTAATTGACATTGACTCTAAAATACGAGATAAGATTTGATACTAAAAAAAGGTTTTGTTTATTTTTTAGAGAAGGGGAAGAGAGGGAGAGAAACATCAATGTGTGGTTGCCTCTCACATGCCTCCTACTGGGGACCTGGCCCGCAACCCAGGCATGTGCCCTGACTGGGAATCGAACTGGCAACCCCGTGGTTTGCAAGGCAGTACACAACCCAGTGAGCCACACCAGCCAAGACAGAATTTGATATTTTTTTTTATTCTATGTCAGTCCTTCCTTAACACAGAGTCTGTCACTTTTATTTGAGGGACCTCTGCCCCGAGATTTCCTCTCAGCCTGACTCAGGCGAGACAGCATCTCACACGAGGACTTACAAACAGGCATTTTCGATCGTGTTGTTCTGCTCTGGTTTCCCGGAGGGCTGGGGGTGGATGGCTTGAAGCCCTCGTTTCACTCACGGTACACGCTGGCGTGCAGGTTGGGCCAGCACGCTCTTCACCCCAGTGTCTAATTTAGATGTTGCTGCCCAGGGCTTTTTCTGTTGAGCGTGAAGACTGCCTTGCATGGTTCCCTCCTTGTAGGAGTGTATTCATGCCAGTTACTCTCCGTTTCTGTTGGACAGCAACCAGCCATACATGAATTTCTTTTAAGCTTCATGAACCGTCTGTATGTATTCCGTCTTGAGGCACAGGGTGCCGTGTTTTTTATCCGTTTGTAAAGGTGTTTGAATTCCTCACTGGCTTCCAAGTTCAGATTTAGCATTTGATTCTGATCTTGGTTGGTAAAACGGCACAAAGTGCTTTGGGGGGTGGTTTTGGTAACGTGTTACTGTTCGTTATAGTCCTGGCTTATTCGTTCATTCTCCTATTGGATGGTTAGGTTGTACATGATTTGTTTTTGTGTGTGTGAACTATTTTTTTAAATTGAATTTATTGGGGTGACACTGGTTAACACAATAATATAGATTTCGGGCCCTGGCCGGGTAGTTCAGTTGGGTTTGATTCCCCTGTCAGGGTGCCTGCAAGAAGCAACCAGTGCATGCATGAACAAGTGGAACAACAAATGGATGTTTCTCTCCCTTTCTAAAAATCAGTACATTAAAAAATACAGATGGCAGGCGCACAGCTCTGTCATCACCTGCACGTTGTGCTGTGTGTCCACCACCCCAGGGCCAGTCTCCTCCCATCGCCGTTCGTCCCCCCGCACCCTCTCCTGCGTCTCCCCACCGCGCTTTCCCTCTGGCCATCACTGCGCTGTTGTCTGTGGGTTTTTGCTCAACTCCTCCAGCCTTTTCACCCAGCTCCTCTCCCCACGGACAGCTGTGTCACAGGGCAGTCTCAGTAAGAGTTGGAGGTTTGGCTTAGTGGAGGGGGCTCGGGGGCTCGGGCATCCGTCCGCAGGAACCTTCCGCCCGCTGTCGCTGCCGCGCGCTGTCCGCGCACCTGCCGTCCAGGGTCCTGGCGCTCCCTGTCCTCTCACCCGTGCGTCGCAGGTAGCCGTCCCCTGGCAGAGGCCTTCCTAGACAGGAGACGTTTCATCAGGAATCCTGCTGCCGAGTCCTGATGGGCAGTTACCAGGTGTCATCAGAAGGAATTGCCCAATGAACACATGTATACCCACCACTTGGATTCTGTAATCGACATTTTGCTTTATCACATATCTTTATTGGAGGGAATATTTTTTCATTTTTAATTAATTTATAGAGATGGGGGAAAGGAGGGAGAAAGACATTGATCTGTGAGAGAAACATTGTCTGGTTGCCTCTTGCACACCCCCAGCAGGAGACCTGGCCCGCAACCCAGGCCTGTGCCCTGACTGGGAATTGAACTGGCGACCTTTCAGTCTGCAGGCCGGTGCGCAGTCCACTGAGCCACACCAGCCAGGGCAAGGAGGCAGTGTTTTAAGAGGATTTAATAGCGAAGTCCATTTCGAAGGAGACTGAGGGTGATAGAAATTCTTGTTCTGAGCGCTGCCTTTAGCTGACTCAGGTATCAACTAACCCCGGGTTTGGGCTTGGGGGTTCTAGAAGGGCGCTTAGGGGTTCAGAAGGGGGTTTGGAGTAGAGGCTGCTTCAGGTTCGAACCCTGCTGTAGGTAGGCAGTGTCTTCAGCTTTGAGTGTTCCAGAAACTACACAGAGTCCACTTTTTTTTAAGCCTCCAATGGTGATAATGGATAGCCTTCCATGTGTGGGTTGCAATGTCCGCTGTTTGTAACAGAACGTTAGAATTCCTGGTTGGGTTTTGTATTTTTGTAGCATGAAAGGCCTCTTGTTAGTTCACGTGTTTTCTGAACGTGGTCCCTGCATTTACACATTCACCGAAGGCTTCCTGTTACCCCATCCCCATTTCCCAGTATAACTTGAGGATTTTCAGTTCAAGGTCTTTTTTGAATTTTTGAGCTTCCTGGGTCCCTTTTTTCCCCCCCCCGCATCAAGGAATTGCTGATGTTTCCAGGTTTATTGATAATTTTTTTTTAAAGTTTTGGTTTATGGATTTCAGGGATTAACACTGAAATTTGCCCAAGATATTCTGAGTGAAAAGTTTCCTTAAAATTCTCCTAATAGAAAAGGGAACACGACAGGAACATGAGTTCCTGGCCTTGACCTTGGTTCTTTATTCTGGGTGGGGCTGACCCTTGCATGGGCAGGCCGAAGAAAAAGCGCTCGCGTTAAACTTCCTTCCGGCAGACTCAACGTCTGTGCTCTGAGTCACAGCCTCTTTCAGAGACGGGAACGGGGCTGGGCCGAGCAGTTACTATACACAGTTGGAAATCCTAGACAGACCGTAGCTCCCAGAGGTCTGCAGCAGCCTCAGCCCCGGCTGTGACCAGGTGCGGCCCCGGCCGCCCCGTGGGGAAGCCGCGACTGTGCCCGCAGCCAGCGTGGGCTGTGGCCTCTGGCGTGTGTGTGCGCGGAGTGTGTTTAAAAGGAGGCAAACTAAGGAAATAATTCAGATCAAACACTGGACCTGTCCTTGTTTAAAAAGTTACGGTTTTATAGTTTAATAATTTCCACACAGAGAGAGTTGTAGCAAACGCTTGGTAATAAAACTTCGGTCAAGATAAGGTTCTGTCTTTACCTTGAATTCCTTCCCAGTCCAGCCTTTCCAAGGCCTGCTTCGGCTGCAGACGGAAGCCTCCAACACAGCCGGCCGACCGTATTTGCAGCGGGGGCGCGGTCCCCGCACCCCGGGGAGAGACTGGGCGGGGTCTGAAAGGAAGTGCTGCCGGCTTTAGCGTGGAAGTTGAAGTCTCCGCTGCTGCTTACCCCGGACACAAAGTGGCAGTAATCACGAGTATTTGTGCACAACATTCGTCATCCTGAGGAGGGGTTCACTTGTCACGGCCGTAGGCGCCTCTCCCTTCCCCAGCTGCCACGTCCACACTTGTGCTGCCCCGAGTCCGGGGGCCCGCACGGGGCCCGTCTCTTCCCCCGAAAGCCCCTTCTCCGTCCCGCCGGCCGGGGCCGGCTGCTGGAACGGGGCAGCTGCTGCTGCTGCTTCCCCATTTTCCCGCCCCCAGTGCCGGCCTCTGAAGTCTCTCTCTCTGCAGCACTCGGGGCTTCTCCCAAACATGCAAATCTGATGGTGTCTGGGCAACTACGAACCCTGTGTGACTTCCCAAGTAGGGTCAAGTCCCAGGTCCTCAGCAACAAGAAGTGACAACCTCTCCCATTTTTCCTCTGCCCCTTGTGGCTTCCTTCTCCGTTCTTCAGGGATTCTGGGCTCCTCTGGGTTCTGGGCCTCCCCACTTGCTGTTGCTCTTGTCCGGACTCCTCCTCCCTGTCGTGTGTCGTCCTGTCCTCCCTCCCCGCTCAGCGTGCACTGCTGCCTCTTCTGGCCGCCCCGAGACTGGCTTCGGTCTCTTTGCCGTGTGTTTCCAGAGCATCTTTGACAACGCTTGTCACTCCTGTGATCTTACATCGTGACGACATTCTTCTTTTTTAAATTAAGCACCTGCGTAAATGCCATGAGGTCGTGTTCATTGCAGCACTTAGTACACTTCCTGGTGTAACAACAAGTTTGTTGGTACAGGTTGGAATGGAATTAATACTCACAGTGGCTTTGTGATGGAGTTGGGAACTTCTCGTCCATTTTACAGTTGAGAAAACTAGAGGCACAAGGAAGTTGGAACTCACCCCAAATTCCAGCCAGTGAGTGAGAGTGGCCGTGGGTGGGTCTCATCCAGAGTGATGACTTCAGATCTTGGGCTCCTGCTCCTACAGGTTTATTTTGACATTCTAAGCTTTTAACCGAATGTATGGCCAGTGAGTCATCTCTGCACACAGCCTTTAGGAGTTGGAAGCTACCTCCCGATGATACAATGTTTGACTCCGCGAGGTCTTTAGGGTGGGGAGTTCCAACTTTTGGTAAGCCCTTAATAATGTTGCCAGTGAAACAAGTATTGACAAGACTGGCTGGGCCTGTGATCTGCCCCTGTTGAGAGGTTTTTGCCACAAGCTAAGAGTGCAGGGGAAGTAGAAAAGCACATAGCTTCTGTGAGGCTGGACAACAGGTTTCACGGCTCAGAACTCCTGTGTGTCCTCGGAACTGGGGCTTGCCAGCTGAGGACTGCAGGGCCACGGCCTTGCGGGGGGAGAGCATCTCGTGAGCCCGTAGGGGCTGGGACGCGGGCTCTGGCAGCTCCTGAAGCCCCTCTGTGAGTGTTGGGAGTGTGGAGACTGTCATTTGTTTTGTGTGTTTTGTTTTGTGGGTTTTTTTCCCCCCCGTTTTGGCCAATGGTGCAGTAACCTTAATTTTTACGTGATGTTCTCTTGAAAAAAAAAAATTGAACTGGTTGGAAGACGTCCAGCCCCGCTGGGACCTGTGCTCAGTGGCGCGCTGTTGGCCTCCTGCCTCTTAACTGTCTCCTCCTTGCAGCTGCTTGGGAAGTTCCCTCCCGCATCCCTGGGCTGCTCGTGAACGCGTCCGGGTTGTACTGTGTCCGCCGCTCCCGGAGCTCGCGGTGATCTGTGAGGGTGGGGGCGGGGAGGTGGCGAGTGATGGAGACGAGTTGGAGACCGGTCTGTGTGGCCGCGATGACTAGGCCTCTGTGAAGAGAACAGTCCTCACTGACCGCCCCGGGCGGGGGCGGCTGCAGGAGGCTGCCGGAGTTGGGGCTGCCAGTCAGAGGCAGCAAACTGTTACTTAGCAACGAAGTGGAAAGCTGTGTTTGCATATTAGTATTCATCAAAATCATTTCAGGACAGAATCAGAGGTTTCTGGATGAAAGACTTCTACAGATGGTCACAGAAAAGACTTGCAATTTTAAATAGTTTTCCTCTTGAACTTGTGCTTATTTAATAACTCTCTCTCCGGACTGTGAATGCTAGTAACACATACCTGACCTGCATGTGAAGGCTCCTGGTTCTGCCTTTCTGAAAAATCCTGTTTGTGTACATTTCCGGGTAAAAATATGTATGTGTGTAGTCCTGACTGAAAGGTTATAGAAACGGTTTTCTTTAATGCTAAGTACTTGGAGTATGCCCCTAGATTTTTCTATGAATTATTTTAACAGTATAATGAAAAACTAGGATGACATTCGTGATAACCAAGCAACTGACACCTCCCTCCTCTCTCTCTAGAGCCGTAGGTAAAACCTGCCTGCTGATCAGCTACACGACCAATGCATTCCCCGGAGAGTACATCCCCACCGTGTGAGTACCTCCCGCTGAACTGGGGTTAACCACCTGCGGCGGTTTGGGGGCGCCTCTGACCTGTGTTTTGCTGTAAAGTCTTTCTTAATCCTTATAGGAACAGGTACGATTACTTTTTCTCTGAAACATTCACCAAAGTCGACTTCGGGCTTTTAAGAAATACTTAATGTAAAGTTTCCCCATAGCGATAAAACACACAACCCTCCTAATTGATTTTGAGACATTGAGGAAACAGAAAGAAGCGTCACTCGTTGGAGGAGAGAGGCTGGGAGATGCATGCGTCTCCGAGGACTCTGGCTCCCCGGGCTGTGGGTGCGAAGGACTGAGGCCCTGGGAGGGAGCTGCTTCCTCCTGTTGCGAGTGGCCTTTCCTGGCAACTAGCTCGCTGCCTGCACGCCGCTGTGGGGTCTGGGGCAGTGCAGCTGACACCAGGGCGTGGTGGGGGTTGGGGGGCGGGAGTGTGCGCGAGTGTGTGGGAGGGTGGGATTGGCCATTGACTGCCTGTTCCCTGTTGGCTGCAGAGTTGGGTGGAGATGGCAAAGTGCCTTTTTGATGATGGGGAGTCTCCGGAGCCCCAGGCGGGAGGCCAGCCTCAGAGCGCCACCCTGTGGCCGCTGTGAGCTGCGTCCCCATGGCTTCCATCCCCTGAAGAAAAACCTCAAGGCCTGCCTGCCCGCCCCTCCGCTGACTTCCCAGGCACACAGCCCCCCAGGGGTTACCCCCGAAGAGTCGTGTGCATGTGTTAATGCACAGGGAGTGGAGTCGTCCTGTCCTGCTCCGGCTGATGTGTGCACGGGCCATTTGGGTTTGGGGTGGGGGTTGGTGGTACAGACAGTGCCGTGCTAGGCATCTTCCCGTGTGTGTTTGCACACGTGTGATAGGTCATTAGTGGTGGGGCTGTGCCGCATTTTAAATGCTGACACCCGCTGCTCCCGGAACGGCCCCCCACGCGGCTGTGGTCTGCAGACCCGAAGGGCTGCCGCCTCATCGTTTGCGTTTCTGGTCGCCCGCGAGGTTCAGGTCTTCTGAACGTTTCCTCCCCGATGATAGTCTCCTGTGAGCTGCCTGCCGAAACGCTTCGCTTATTTTTGTAGTGAAATTTTTCTTACTGATGAAACTCTTGTGTGTAAACTGTTAACTCCTGTCTCTCGGTTGTCCTTGAACTTCGCTGCGGTGTCCTCTGCCCCGAACCGGTGGGACATTTTCACGCAGACGCGCCCTCGCCCCGCGTTCCGCACGTCTCACTGCGGGGCTGGTCCGGCCTGAGAGGTGCGGCCTGTTCTCCGGCGGTCTTGCTGGGGCTTTGTGGCTGAGGTTCTTGTCTTTAATTCTCTCAGAATGTGTTTTTCGGTCTAGTACGAGACAAGCCCGATTCTTTTACCCAGATGGAAAAAACGTCACCACTCAGTGAAAAAGGAGCCCTTTCCTCACGAGGCAGAGTCACCGCACACCAGACCCCGCCTCTGTGAAGGCCGGTGTGCTCACTGAATCCTGTAAGCAGCTCGGCCCCTCCTCGGCCCCTGACGCTGCTGCCCCGCGCAGGGAAGACCCCGCGTTTCAGTCTCCCGAGCGCGCGGTGACGGAGCCCGGCGTCCCGCGGTGTTCTGCGTGCGCCTGCCCCGGCTGGCACGGCGGCGCCAGCTTCTCCTCTCAGCGGGCTGCTCACTGTGCGCTCCTCGCGGCGGTCTCTCGGCGGTCTCTCGGCGGCCTGCAGGCCTCCCCGGGCTGCCGCTTGCAGCTCCCTGGCCGCCGTGCGCAGCGTCAGGGCACTTACTTTAAATGTGCCTGTCATCTGGCGCGTGCGCTTCGAGAACGTTCCACGGCGGCTCCTCAGAACCCCTCTGCACGTCGGCTGCAGCGGGGCGACCGTGGCGTGACGCGCGCCCAGCCGTGCGTGTCCTGTGCACGCGAGTCAGACGTGCAGGAGGGGCTCCGCACATGGGGCTTGAGAGGGGGGCCGGGGTCGTGCGTTATTTGGTCCTGGGGAGAACACCCTTGGTGTTCGGTTCATGGCGGGCAGAGCTGTTTTATTGCGGACAGTCGTTCGTTCTGTTAAACCAGCTGCTTCCCTGTTTCTCGGCATTTTCTCAAGTTGCGTGTGTGTCTCCCTCACGTTCCACCCCGTTCTCCCTCTACTTCTCTGCTTTCAGGGTCCCCTGGTGCCTGCAGGGGGGCACGTGCTGGCCTGGGGGCCTCCAGGCCCACCCCCGCCCTTGCAGCACCCCCCCTCTGGGACCCCGGCAGGGACGGTGACTCAGGTGCCGGACCTGGGCCTTGCGCTCCGAGGCTGGAGACTAACCACTTTTCCTCCATATCTCCCAGCTTCGACAACTACTCTGCCAACGTCATGGTGGATGGCAAACCGGTGAACCTAGGCTTGTGGGACACCGCTGGACAAGAGGACTACGACAGACTACGCCCCCTGTCCTACCCGCAGACAGTAAGGCCTGCGGCCGATTCGCGATGTGCTCTGTCGAACGCGAGTTCCTGAGCGGTTAACCCCCGCGCGTCGCCTTCCCGTGTGCTTCTTCTGTTCGCGTCTTCCGGGCACAGAGGCCGCTGAGCAGATGCCTTGGGTCCAGAACCCGCTCTCCCTCTTACTGGCTGCGTGCCCTCGGGCAGCTTTCCTCGTCCCTGCTCTCGACCTCCTGACTCCGGGATGGGTGGGCCGGCACACGCGGGGCAGGCGGCGCAGCCGCAGGCGCACCGCACACGCTCCCTGCAGGGTCCGCTGGGGTCCTCCGGGTTCCGGTGTCGACGCACGGACCGGCCCGGGGACTCCTCGGTTCAGAGCTGAGACCGGCGCCTGGAAGTGGCCCACCCCTCCTCTCAGCAAGCCAGGATGGCCGGAGGCGGTCAGTGAGGTCAGGGTCAGGGAGACATCCAGAGAAGGCAGGCTTTGATCCTTTGGTTGATTGATTGACTGAATGACTGATTGATTGAGTCGTCACTCTCCCAACTGTGGGGGGTGTGGGTGAGAACAACTCTGCCGAGTCTCTTCTGTTTTTGTCTTTGAACGAACGTGCTGCCTAGTGATGACAGTGTCCGACTGCTGAGCACGGCCTTTGCCGTGCGAGTCGCGGTCGCTGCGCTTCCTGCCGGGGGACTGCCAGGGGCAGCCTCCTCGGGCGGTCCGCCTTGGGTCGCTCTGCAGCTGGTCCTGGTCACAGGCCAGAGCTGCAGGGCGGGAGGTTTGGGTTGCATGATTTCTGTTAATCTCAGCTGAAAGTTAACTGTAAGTGTTAAAAAACAGCCAAATGACCAAACGGTGTGTATTTAGTATGTTTAGGAATCTATTCTGTACCGGTGGGTGCTTAATAATAAATTCCAGGCTTGAAGTGGCTTCGCAGAGGTACTGAGTGGGAGTCCCCTGTCCCACTGGGTCCATCAGGAAGGGTGGGTGTCACTCAGCCACCCCCCGTGACGACGCAGAGGGCAGGTAGGGCGTGGCCTCGTCCTCTCGAGAGAGTTGTCCTGGCGTGTGAAGGGTGACCGGGCGAGACGCCCGTCTCGTGTGCTAAAGGTCACAGGGGACTGACTGAAGCGGGCCGCGGCGGCGAGGGCTGGGCCCTGCCCTTTGTTCCACGGGAGGGGCAAGGACTGCCTGCCTGTCCCACACTGGGACTGCCAAAGGGGTGGGGTGTGGTTCTCGCCCTCACGGGGCTCACAAGGGCCGTGTGATACAGCGTTCCAGGTACCAGCTGGGCGGGGGTGGGGGGGGTGGGGGCGTGCTTGGGGAGGAAGGGGGAGAGAGCACCCAGACAGCAGTGACAGGCGAGCCGGCCTGGACTCCCTGGGGCCGAGGGAGGGGTCACCCTGGCTGCTGGGGGCGGGTCTGAGCGTGGAGGAGCCAGCCTCCTCCTCTGAGCTGTGCTGTCCTGCCGAGGGGAGCAGGCCCTGGGCTCGCTGGCTGCACCCTGAGCTTGTGTTGCAGAGGGGGAAGAAACCCGGACCTTGTGTGGGGGGAGCGTGGTCTCTGGGGGCTGGCTCCCCCCCGCCTCGACGGTGCCGGTGCCCGCGCCCGCCCGGGGAGGGCCGGGTGGGAGGCGTGTGAGAAGAGACGTTGTGTCTCCTCCGGCCATGAGACGCTGGTGCCCGTCTCTGCCGGGCGGCTCTGTGTAGCTCCGTGGGGCCTGTTTAAACCGTCAGCTTCTACTTTGTTCTCCTCAAGAGGGCGAGCACGTCGTCGTGTCCAGTATGAATTGCTCTTCAAGTTTAATTTTTCTAAACCACACAATCCTTCGGGCTTTCCTGCCCTTCAATAAAGGATCTTTACGTTCTCTTTACAACTACGTTGTAAGTCCTGCACGCTTGTCTTCAGCTGGTGGGCTCAGGTGGGGGTGGGGCCGCCGTAGCGCTCCAGCCAGCATCTCTCGGCGTGTCTGCGCACCCGTGCTTGCCTCCCTGCCCCAGCGTTTCGTGGTGTGAGCGGGAGCAGGCGTGACGCGCCAGGGCCGCAGGCCCGGGCCCTGTGCGCGCGCTGGGAGACGCAGGCCGTGTGGTCGGCTTCCTGCGCTGCGCCGGCCTGCGCCCGGGCCGGCGAGGACCCTGCTGTGTCAGGAGTGTGTTCGCTGTCTGCCTGGCCTGCGAGGAAGCGGGGCTCTGCTCTGGCTTGGGTGCCGGCAGGAAGCAGGGAGTTCGGGGTTGGGTGTCTTCCCCGGAGGGTGCGGAGGCAGCGAGTCTGGAGCTGTGATTGGCCCAGAGGCGGGTCACTCCCTCGGCTGGGAGAGGGGCCTCCGGTGTCCTGTGGTTCGCACAGTGACCTTGTGTTTGTGCCTGGACACGGTGGCGAAGTGAGCGTCTTCCACTCTTCACTCTGGGTCTCGGTTCCAGCAGGGCCGCGCAGGGCCCTGTCTGCCGTGGGAGCCCCGGGGCGTTGCTCTACCCCCGCAGACCTGCCGCGGCGGAGCTGCGGGTGCCCGGCGGGCTCCCAGGCGTCCGGGCTCCCCTGCTCTGCTCTGCTCTGCCAGTGCTCCCTGGTCTTCTTTCTCTGCGCAGAACGCCCGCACTAGAAACTGTTACAAGCCTGACAGTAAACACCGGGTGGAAAGCATCTGGGAGAGCACACGATGAAAGAAAGGGGAACGATAGTGCTGTTGGAACAGGGAGGCTTCAGGCCTCTGGAGGTCGGCCCACTCTCCTCCTGCTCGGGGCGGGCTCGGCTTCCTGCAGGCTGTGCCGCTGACCGGTGCAGAGGCCGTAGGAGGAGCTGCCAGCTGCTGACCGGTGGGGACAGGGTGTGCGGTGCAGGCGTCCTAAGTCACCAGCTGCCCGCCGGTGTCAGGAAGTACCGGTGACGTCCCTAGGAACGGCGGCCTGCGACCCAGGACAGTGCAGGGGGAGCACAGAGGCCCAGAACACCCACAGGACCCGTGAGGAAGGGAGACGGGGGCCACGCCAAAGGTGGCTCTGCTGAGGGGCTCGGAGCGCCGCAAGGGCAGGGTGAAGAGGGGACCCCGGGCCGGGGTGAGCCGCGTGAACGCCGCGTGGGCCTGGGGGGAAGCAAGGGTCCGCACAGCTGGTGCTGGGAGGTGAGGGCCGGGAGCACGAGCCGTGATCCCTTGTGGCCTGGTGAGGCGGGGGAGGGGCGGGCAGGCAGGCAGGCCGTGCAGCGCCGGCGTGGGGTGGGAGGAGGGCAGCGTGATTCGTCCAGAAAGACCGTCTTCAGGGTTGAAACGGGTACGACAGGTGCGGTCCGAGGACGCCTCACACGGCGCCCCTGTGGCCAGTCCCCTGCAGCCCCGTGTCACAGAGCGGACGGGGCCTCGCGTCGAGGCCTGGCGAGGACAGGTCTCCGCAGACGGCTCCCAGGCGGGCCAGGTGTCCTCCGGAGCTCGACCGGTCCCTAGACTGGGAACCAGAGCAGCCTGAGGGGCTGGCGGTGAAGACTTCTCTCCTGTGCCTGTCTCTGGCAAGGGCTGCAGGGCTCTGTGCTGCTGGAAGAGCACGTCTCTCTGTCTTTGCGGGGCCGGGGGGGGGAGTGGGAGGCATTGAGACGGACACTTGGGTGCCGTCACCTTGGGCCGCCGCGTCGAGGTCCGCAGGGGTGGGCGGCAGGTCTCAGGGCAGCACCACCCCCTCCTCGAATGGGGGGGTACACCCGTTCCCCGGGCCTGGCCCCCAGGCAGGGGCTCCCCTGTGAGCTGGGCCTCGGCTGGGCCCGCAGCCGGTCCTGGGAGGGGAGCTGTGCCTCGCGGGGTGCCTGTCGCTCTCGGGCGCTGGTGGCAGGAGGCACGCGTACCTGGTGCTTCCTCCCTGAGCCTGAGCTTCCTGGCCACGGGTCGGTCCCGCCAGGAAAGGGGCCCTCTGTGTCTGCTGCTGGGGGCGGGGCGCCCTTCCCCTCCCGGCTCGTGGCTGCCCCCTCTCGCCGCACGGTGGCCCCCCCCCGACCCCCCTCCCCCGGGTTGGTTGACAGAGCGTTTCTGTGGCTGTGGCGTGGCAGACCTGCTAGAGCCCCCCTGCTCGTAGAGCACAGCCCGGGGGGGCGGAGGCAGCAGCCAGCGTTCTGCGAGGCCCGGTGGCGGGCTGCCTTGGTCTCCTCCTCCTCCGTCTTCGCTGCACTCAGATGACGTTCTCGTGCGTTACTAGGTCGGAGAGGCGCACGGTAAGGATGTGACCTCCAGGGGCAAAGACAAGCCGATTGCCGTATGTAAAACTTTCAGTCGACCTCAGTTTCGAGCTTCATCTGTCCTCTCGTTTCCCCTAGTTTTGCTAGGACTCCCTGTTCAGCCTCATGTTCCTTGAGTGTTTTGTGTCTAATTCACTCGGGATTGGGGTTGTGCTTGATGAATCGTGCTTTTACTGGGGTGTGACAGTCTGCCTAGCAGCTTGAATGAAAGCCGTTTGGGGGCTGCTTTTCCCCCTCCTGCTGAGTGAAAGGAGAGGGGCTTCTGTGAACGGGGCTTTCATGGAGCTGTGGGGGGCTCCGCCGGGACGCCCACCGCGGGCCGTGAGCTTGGCTGGGCAGGACTAACCGGGGCCGCCTCCCCCGCTGGTGTCGGTGCTGGGGCCTGTCGGTGTGGCTGTGCGGGCTGCCGAGCAGACCCACCTGCCTGGACGTGTCGTGGTTGGCGCAGGCGGTCCGTGGACGACTCGTGCACGCGCTGGCGGTGAACGGTGGTGTGCATGGGAGGCGTCGCGCGAGAGTTTCCTTCTCCTGCAGGTGCGAGGTGCCACCGGGTGAGGGCGAGTGTCGGCTTGGGGGCCAGGCACGTCACGAGGAGTGTGACTGCCTTTTCCCGGTGTTTCACTTCTAGCATGGAATTCTTCCAGGTGTTCACTCCGCTCCGCCCTTCCCCTTGACTCTGCTCCAGCTGCACCTGCTCCGGGGCCGGTTCCCCGGGGCCAGCCGGGTGTCCAGAGCTCTGACCGCCGGGAGGACGCCACTTGCACGTTAGGGCCCCCCCCCCCCACGGGGAGCCTGTCCATTTAGTAAACACCGGAGCCCACTCAGGGCCGGGGCTGATGGCCGTCCTTCAGCAGTGTGCTGTGGCCTGGGAGCTCCGTGGGTTAGGGCGTTGCCCCAGTACGCCAGGGTTTGGGGTTCAGGCCCCAGTCAGGGCACATTCTGGGGAACGCATGGACGGGGGTCACCTGTCCCATGTGTCTCTGCCCCAGCCTTCCTCTCTCTCGGGGACCAATAATTTTTTTTTAAACAGTTTAATTGGAGTCCAGAGATCATCTAAAAATGTTTATACCTAACACACAGATGAGGAGCTTAATGAAAAGCATACCATTTTTAGATAATGCTTTGAGAAGCAGACGAGGTTTTACAGAAGTAAATATTCAAGGGGTGCCTTGACGCTTGATTTTTGCCCCGAGCGGGAGTTGGGAGGGACGGAAAGAGGCCGCCAGGGCTCCACCTGAGGCCTCCGGAGCCCTCCACCCCCTTCTCACAGTAACGGGGCGCTCCGCGGGCTGGCCGGGCCTGGTTTGGGGCCGAGGCCAGAGGCCGCAGCGCGTGTCCAGGGCGCGGGCGGTAGAGGAGCGCCCTCTCAGCCCTGCCCCGTCTCCTCCCGCAGGACGTGTTCCTGATCTGCTTCTCTCTCGTGAGTCCCGCCTCGTTCGAGAACGTCCGCGCGAAGGTGAGTGGGCATCGTTTAGGAGACTACTTCGTTGTGTAATGTCACTCTCAGGAAGAAACGTGGAGAAATAAAATACCATCTACTGACTAATTTTCAGTCACTTAAATCGGTTCTGTGAAGGTAAAGAATTAGTCCTGTAAGTATATGACTTGAGTGGGTCGAATTCTCAGGCTTCAGGGTGACGCAGGGGTGCTGTGTCCCTTGTTACACTGACGGAGCACGCCAGCCCCTGCACGCCCCCCGCCCCCCCCCGTGTCTGTCCCACGCCGGGGGGGGGGGGCATGGCCTTCTTCGGAGCGGTCCGGGGGGTGACGGCGGCAGAGCTGAGGCCTGGCTCCGCATGGTCGAGTCGCATCCCTGAGTGTATGCCGGGCGGGGGTGGGGCTTGGGGCAGGTGGCCCCCGTGTTGTTATTCACCGTGCAGCGGAGCACCGGTGTCACTGCTGTAACCCTGCTTTGTCGGCCCCTGTACAGAGTGTTTTCCGAGATCACCTAAGAACTTCCCTTGTTTTACCAAAAAATGATGTGGGTGGGTTTTTTTGGCGGGGGGAGGGGGCTGTCTTTTTCACCACCACCCCCCCTTGCAAGTAGCGCCCACCCTGTCGGGCTGATAACCGTGGGAGCCTTGGCTCACTGGTGCGTCCCAAAGCCCAGCGGGCCCCGGCCGTGCTCTGGTCCGCGAGGGCGTGGGCGCATCCAGGGCAGCGGGCCCGGCCCTCCCGGCACCGGAGCAGGCGCGGTCCTCCCACGTGAAGGCTCTGGGGGGTCGCAGAGGCGAAGGGGTGGCCGACGTGTTGGTGGCCGTGGCTATGACGGAGGTAAGGCAGCCTGTAGAGGAGCGTGTCACACCCTTGTTCTTCCCCTGTGTCCGCCCAGTGGTACCCTGAAGTGCGACACCACTGCCCCAACACCCCCATCATCCTGGTGGGGACCAAGCTCGACCTCAGGGATGACAAGGACACGATCGAGAAACTGAAGGAGAAGAAGCTGACACCCATCACCTACCCGCAGGGCCTGGCCATGGCGAAGGAGATCGGTACGGACCCCCGCGGCGCCCGTGTTCTCCGTTTCCTGGTGGGGACGGGGGTCCCGTCCGGGGAAGCGGCGAGGGCGCTCCCCCAGCCCGGGGTCCGGTGGTCGGGGGCGGCGGCAGGGTCGGGGGTTGCTCCGCGTCCTCGGCCGCCTCAGGCGCCTTCGTCCTGAGCGGGCGCCGGGCGCGGGGCTGCGAGTACAGGCTGTGTGTCCCGGCAGGCGCGGTCAAGTACCTGGAGTGCTCGGCGCTCACGCAGCGAGGCCTCAAGACCGTGTTCGACGAGGCCATCCGCGCCGTCCTCTGCCCGCCCCCCGTCAAGAAGAGGAAGAGGAAGTGCCTGCTGCTGTAGACGCTGGCCCCGCCGCCCGCCCGGGCGCCCGCGTGCGCTTTGCTCGAGAACGACGGAGCCTTCGCACTCAATGCCAAGTTTTTGTTACGGATTAGTTTTTCCATAAAACCATTTTGAACCAATCAGTAATTTTTAGGTTTTATTTAAACAAATAAGTGTAAGAGTTAAAACTTTCATATTCTATTAAAACGTAGCCCTAAAATGATAAGCTTTCTTAAAGCCTTATTTTTCAAAAGTCCCTATTCTTGCTCAGATTAAGAGTTGCCAAAATACCTTGTGAACTAAGTTGCATTGTTGTGCTAAGAACACTAAGCACTAAACCGTTTCAAGACCTTTGTCTTCGAGAAGACTGTAGCTTCTGCAGGTAGGGAAGGCAGGCACTTTCTGACGACTCTCACACGGGAGAAGTTCAGCCTCTCTCATGAAATGTTGCCATTTAACGCATCGGTAATTTATCAGCTCATGTGCGTCCCCTGACGTTGTACTGTACACCGTGATGGAGTGTAACAGCTCAACCCTCTGGATCGGCCTCTTTGATTTCAGCGTGAGAGTCTGTAAACTGCTAGCGTGCCAGCTCTGGCTGAGATTCTGGAGCGGACTCTCACTCGCGCATTCCCTCGGAAGTATTGGGCCCTGGCTGCGGGCGCGCGGGGCGGGGTGCGAGGGACGCTCCGTGTGGCCTGGGGGTGCGGACAGCAGTATTTTGACAAAATAGGAAGTGGAGATTAACTTACACTACATTGTACACGTAATAACTAAACTGAGTAACAGTGTCACGGGTAAAATTTTAAACAGGTTAATTTCTGTCAAACGTAGTAGATGAGGAAGAAAGTCGGTATTAATCAGTAAGTGTTTTCTTAGGCTTTTCCTTTTTCTTGAACCTGCCATCCCTCCCGACATCGGGCATTTGCTTTGTCTTTGAACTGGCCATTCCTACGGTTACTAACCGAGAAAGTGCTTTTCTTACGGAACCCCTTCTCAGCAGGCAGTGTGCCTCCTTGTACAAAATCTTCCTTGACGCCATGTTAGGGGTTTTTTGTGTTTTTTTTTTTGTAGATTAGTAAAAGTGCATTCCTATTTTCACGTTCCTTTATTCAAAGCTAATACGTGCTTTCCTTAATTAGTTTTCTAGTAACTAGATGTAAAAATCACGTGTTGCATCTTTACAGTTTTTAAGATATTTTAGATATTCTTACTACGGACCTTCGTAACATCACTGTCTTGCCAGACTCCGCCCCCCTGCACCCTGGCCCTTGCTCTGCCTAACCACGCCCCCTCCCTCCCTCGGGTGTGAGGGTCTGCAAGCCCCGCGCCCGCGCTGCCCAGGTTCCACACGGCTTCCCCACCGGCGGGAGCACGAGGTGGGGCCCTCCGACCACTAGGACAACATTTTTTAAATTGACAGTTGCAGAATTGTGGAGTGTTTTTACATTGATCTTTTGCTAATGCAATTAGCAGTATGTTTTGCATGTACGACTTAATAAATCCTTGAATCATATGACTGTAATACTTGAATTCTTTTTTTTTACTTTTTATTTTGAGACTGTGTTTGTTAAAGCTGGGGGCAGGGAAACAAGGGCCAGGACAGAAGCAGCAGCGGGGGAGCCCCGGCGGGCCGCTCTGGCTCACGGGGGAGTCGGGGGTGGGGGCGGGCCTTGGAGACAGGTTCAGGGGTCAGCTCCGGACGCACCGCCGCTGCCCGTGGCTCCCCTGGTTGCGAGTCTCGTGGGAACCCTTGGGTTTAGGACAGCAGGCCCCAGTCTTTTTGGCACCAGGTACCGGTTTCATGGAAGAGAATTTCTCCACAGAACAGGGTGAGGGGGGTGGCTTCAGGGTAGTTCGAGGGCATTCCATCCCAGCCCACCTCCTGCTCTGCAGCCCGGTTCCTGTCAGGCCCAGACTGGTACCAAGGCCCCGAGGTTGGGGACCCCGTGTTGGAGATGCACTCCTGAGGGCCGGGAGAGGCGCCGGTCTGCGCCAGGACTTAAATCCTTTGAGACCCTGGTGACCCCCCTCCTGGGGTGTGTGCACGTGCCTCACCGCGTGTGCGTCTCCCGTGTGAGTTTCCGTGCTGGGGGTGGGGGGTGGGGAGTGGCCCCTCTAGGGGGAGACATGGGTGGTCTGGTTTCGGACCAGCTGCATGTCGCTGAGACGGTGCCCACCCTAGGACGCGTGGGTAGCTGTGTGCGCACACGTGCACTGTGTGGGTGTCTCGGGCCAGGGCTCTGGGCTGCGAGTGAGATGTCGGGACCCAGGCCGGCCTCGTGGGAGGGCGGGCGCTGACGGTACGACTTCCAGATCTTTCCAGAACCTGGAGTTGTGCTGTAAGTAGTTGGTGACAACCCACTTTCTAAAGACTCTTCTGCTTTGAGTGTTCTGAGTTGCTTTTTAACCACAGATACATACTGTTTAAAGAACAAACAGTTCCAAAGATTTGCTACAGAAGAGGCAGTCTTCCCCTTTTATACCCTCCCCAGAGCCAAGTGCTTTTGAGATTTTTTTGTTTCTGCATGTGTATCTCTTCATCTTAAATTTATTTCCACATGTGTAAGTCATATGCTTTTTTTTTTTACTTATAAATCACTGGCTTACTAGAAAAGGCTGTGGCCCAGCCGGACGTTGGGTGGGGCGAGGGTGCGGGGTTCCCGTGCCCCACCGGGGCCACTCTCCCCGCAGTCCCCGAGTGCTCCCCAGCACGGGAGCTCTGAGGACCCCCCTTCGGGGATTTTACGGGGCCTCGTCACACGAGGATGGATGAAACCTGATGGGGATCAAGTCGACTGCCAGCTGCTCTCCGGGGCTCAGTCGAAACCCTGTGCCTTTACAGGCGGTTGGGTTTCCCAGTCCCACCGCGGCTGCTGACGTGCCCGCCGCGGGAGAAGCCAGGGCTTCCCGCCTGCCAGCTGCCCCCGAGGGCCCCCCGCCCCCTGCACCGTTCCTGCCGCCTCAGTGCCGTAAGGTCCCCATGGTTGGCACTCACTGTTCGGTGTCTGTGCTGTCACTGCGTGAAACGCACCCGCGCCATGCGGCGGCGGGAGTCGGCCTTTCCCTGAACAGCTGTCGGTTCCTCGGGAGATAACGCGTTCATTTAAGGCTCACTTTGCTGCTGCCTGCACCTGGCAGGTGTGCAGGTGTGTTCCACGTCTCATCAGGGTTCACTTTCCTGAAGTCTCGGCACCCTCTGACCACCCTCACCTGTGGTGGTTTGCTGCCTACACCTGCCGCCTTGTTTTTCACGTGCCTCCTCGTGGCGGCAAGCAGGTTCTCCGCGAGCCCCCCGAGGAGGGTGGGAACTTGCCGTGTTTGAGCCCCCACGGCTTCGGAAACCACTCCCCCCACCCTGCCGTCTCCCCGCTGGGTCTGGAATGCCAGGCTAGCCGGCACTGAGCTCCCTCCGGGGTTTTGGGGGCCGCTCTCCAGGCTTCCTTGGCCACGCCCGCCACACTGGGATTTGGGGGGACTTTCCCTGGGTCTTCCAGGGCCTGGGTTTATTTTTATCCCTCGTGGTCTGGAACCTCGTGGCTCCCATTATTCACGTGTCCATTTCTGTTCGTGTCTTTCATGCTTTTAACTTCCGGGGTGCGGGGTTCTGGTTTAATTCCCTGAAGACCCTCTTTCGGCCTCGTGGGTCAGTTCTGTGGTTGCGGCACTTCTGCCGCCTGCCGCCTGGGGCTGGGGTGGTGGGAAGCTTCTGCACCTGTTTCTCCTGGTCCCTTGTCCCTCAAGATCCTGGCAATCCTTGGCTCGCACTTACAGTTCGGGAACCTTGAAAGCAGAGAACACGGGGCACAGGGGTGAGTCACAGCAGGATGGAGGCGTTCAAAGCGTGCCTGAGACCTCTCAGTGTCGTGCTGAGAATGGACAGGAGTCAGGCTCAGAAAACAAACCGTGCGGAAATTGGACATCGTGTGGCACCTCCAGCCAAGTGCTACAAGGGCCCTTGGCGGGCTCTCTGAAGCCTTTTCCCCACGCACCGCCCGACCTGGTTCCGTCTGGGCTCCCCGTCACAGCTCAGGGCCGACCCCGTGGCGTCCCCACGGCTGAGCACGGGGTCCGTGCAGCCGGGCAAGTCCAGCGTGCTGCGTGGACCGCAGCCCTGCACGCTGGGCGCGGCCTGGGCTGACCGGGGGCAGGACGGAGACCCCGCCGGTGAAAGGCGGCCCTCACCCCGCTGCTGCTGCTGCAGTCCCCCCTCCCCCCCCACTGCAGTTCTCAGACTCCCAGGACCCCGCAGGCCAGCGGGGGAGGGGCCTCGGTGGGGGCTCCAGCCACGCTCAGTCTCAGGAACCCCCCACCCTGGTGCCCTCCCAACTCCTGGCGCTTAGGCGCCGCGACCACAGCCGTTCCCCAGAGCAGCCCGCCGTCCAGACGGCTGCCGCGCTCAGTGCCTGTCCGGTCCCTACCACTGCCTTGGCGGCGGGGGCTGCGCTCGGGCGTCATCGGGTCACAACGGTGCGCGCGTGTCGTCCGCGCCGAAGCCGCCCGGGGCGGGACAGGCGTCGCAGACAGCCGGGCCCGACACCACGCGGTCCAGGGCTCGCATCAGGATGTCCGGCATGTGGTCGGTCAGCATCTTCGGGCCAATGAGTATCTTGCTGAACTCTGACTCCTGCGCCCACCGGGCGGTGTACTGCGAGGTGTAGCAGGAGCACCTGGGGCAGGGAACCGCCCGTTCGTTAGCCGGGCGTGTCCCTCCGGGTTCACGTGCACACACGTGTTTCCCATGCTGCGGTGCGAGGGCCCCGCGGCCCGGGGCTCACCTCCCCGAAGCGCCTTCCTCCTCCAGGTGGATGATCCGGCCCGGGAGGTAGAGGGGCGGGTACTTGGTGGGCGACGGCAGCGGGGAGCCGCGCGTCAGCAGGCTCTGCTCCCCGAGGAGGGGCTGTGTCAGGTCCACGCGGCCGCAGGTGTCCAGCTCGGTGGGCGGGCCCTGCGGGCTCCCTCCGAAGAGCTCATACCAGCACCCGCGCAGCAGGATCTCGTACTGAGGGCGAGAGGGCGAGAGGGCGCGTCACTCAGAGGCTCCTCCGCGGGCCGGGGCTGGGGCTGGGGCTGGGGCTGGGGCTGGGGCTGGGGGCGGGGGTGGGGGCGGGGGCCCGGGCCGGGCGATGCCCCTGCTCCACAGTCACCCGTCTCAGGGGTGCGGGCTCAGCGGGCCGACACTCGGGTGTCTCCCGGGCACAGGAGCCATCGCACTAGACGCAATATTTAAAAGCTGAGCCGTGTATGTTTTGAGGGGAAATTACCCTTAATTCTGTGCAGGTGACTCTGCAAAAACATTTTTACTCTTCCCTTCGAGACATCAGTTGCTAATATTTTAAAATCTGGGGTGGTAGCTGATAAATAGAAGGTTTATTTTATTTTATTTTATTTATTTGGTTTGGGGGTCTTTTTTCTTTTTTAAAGATTTTATTTATTAATTTTCAGAGAGGGGAGGGAGAAAGAGAGAGAGAGAGAGAAACATCCATGTGCGGTTGCTGGGGGCCGTGGCCTGCAACCCAGGCATGTGCCCTGGCTGGGAATCGAACCTGCGACACTTTGGTTCGCAGCCTGCGCTCAATCCACTGAGCTACGCCAGCCAGGGTTTAGAAGGTTTATTTCAAATTTTAGTTTTTTTGTTGTTCTGATTAGCAGCAAAATCTAAACACGTCAGAGCTCTAAACTAAGTCACAGTCTGGTGTTTGTTTCGGGCAGAGCTCGTCTCTCCCTGTTGCCGCCTCCCGGCCGCAGACCACTGTCCCAGAACCACTTCTGTCACCGTTGTTCACGGCTGCGTGATACCTCCCAGGACAACCATCCCGTTAGGTCTTATTTTCCAAGCCACCAGAGCACCGCCGGTCAGGAGACGGGGCTGTGACGTGTGGCGGGCCCAGCCCCTGAGCGGGGGCAGGGGAGGGTCTGCGCTGGGAGGCGCGAACCGCAGTATTCCTGGGCTCGCCCCGGCCCTGTGTTCTCCCAGACGTCACCCGTGGGCGCAGACGTCTGCGCGGCAGAGCGTCGCCCGCCCCGGGCTCGGAGGCCGTGAACCCACGAGGAACCCTCCCCGCGGGGAGGCCGCGCCCCCGCAGCCCGTCTCCCGGGCACCAGTCACCTTGGGCCTGTTGCAGTTGGCGATCGCTCGCAAGATCCTCCTCTTCAGGTCCTCCAGGTTGGCCACGCTCAACCTGCTCGCCAGAGGCAGAGTGAGGCCCGGCATTCGGTCTCCGCGGCAACCCCCCTCCCCCGACCAACCCCCCGGCACACCGACCTGGGGATCACGTCCTTGCCCAGGACCAGGGACACCGTGAAGTCCTTGGAGTGCTCATGAAGGGATTTGCTGAAATTCAAAGGACAATCGGTTAAGTTTCACTCCCCCGCCCCAACTGGACAAGACAGCGTGCACGCCCGTGTCCCGTGCGGCGGCCGAGACACCGAGGCCACCTGAGCATCCGCGGCAGAATGAGCGGACAAAGTGTGTGTGTGTGTGTGTGTGTGTGTGTGTGGACAGACACACACGATGGAACACTGTTCAGCCACAAAAAAGAACGAAATCTTGGCAGCATTTGAGATCTCGCTCCCTGGCACATGGGGTCAGTTTGGCTCAGATAAACCCTTAGAAAAGTGTTCTGCACAAAAGGGAAACCTTGCCACGTGGAACAACGCGGGAGGACCTCGAGGGCAGTGTGTCGAGTGAGGGGAGTCAGACAGATGCACGTGGCATCTAAACAGGCTGCCAGAGCCCTGGCTGGTGGCTGCCTGGGGGTGGGGGCTGAGGGGCAGAAACACCTGGTGACGGGGTAAACACACCGACTGTATGTAACGCTGTTTGCACCGTCAACGGTTGTGCTAAGAGTCATCCAAGTCCTCGTTGCAAGAAACAACGTGTGGGGACGGGGTAACTAGTAACTAGACTAGTAACGGTGATCGTTTTGCGATGGGTACAGATCGTTACGTTGTACACCCAAAGTGGATACAACGTTGCCTGTCGCTTAGCATCATCTCCTTCAGGGAGGCGAAGCCGCGGTCAGACAGACCTGTGAAAGGCTGTTCAGTCTGTCTCCAACTAAACAGGACTTGAACAACGAACTTCTGGGGATGCCAAGTTAAGTCACCTCCAGAAGACCAGCCCTAGCCGCGACCCTCCGCAGCGCCTGCCCCGCGCACGGTGCGCGAGCACGGTACCTGAGCAGCCCCCGGGGTGGGGAGAAGGCGTAGCACCTGACGTGCGGGTAGGAGCTTCGGAGCATGAAGGCCAGCAGGGCCGCGGCGCCCGCCCCCAGGCTGTGCCCCACGACGACCAGCCGGTACTCCTGGGGGGCAGACGGAAGGAGGGAAGGTGAGACAGCCGGGCGGCGCATGGCAGGGAAAACGGAAGGTGAAGGAAAGTGGCGGTCTCACGGGGGCAACGCTGAAGGCTTGGCTCAAAATCCCGTCACTGACGAGGCGACGGTACACGTACCTGGCAGCCTGGGAGATGCCCTGGAAAGACAGACAGAGGAGGAGGTGACGCGTGACCGTCGGACGGACGACACGCCGTGCACACTGATGTGCGACTCTGTCCCCCATTAGGGGAGAGCCGTCTCGGGCAGGACCACGCCCACCGCTCACGGCGACATGCCTGGCACCTGGAGCGCCGGCAGGTGCCCGGTACACATTCTCGTGACCCAGTGGGCGCCACCAGGACCCCCCGTCCTCGTCGGTGGGCGCTGCCATGGCGTCCCCGCGACTGCACACTCGGCACTGGGGCGCACCGTGGGTCAGTCCGGCCAAGTCCCCGTGGTCGGTCAGACTGAGGTCGTGAACAACTGAGGTTTCAGAGGGACACTAAAACGATGAGCTGAGTCAGTGGCGCTGACTGAGCATCCTCTGCCTCTGCCAAGGCAAAACTCAGAGCTTCAGAGTGAGTTTAGGGAGGTCAGGTTTGGCTTTAACCTCAAAAACTATAGTGTGAAGCTTCCGCATAGACACAGCTCTCTCTCGGCTTGCGGAGAGTCCAGCCCTCCCGCCGCCGGGAGAGACGCCGCTCTCCCACGCACTCCGGCACGTGTCCCGGGCGGCCGGGGGGCCAGGCGGGGCCGCTCTTGGACGGACGGGGAGGAGGAGTTCTGGGCAACACGGCGGGCTGGACGGCCTCTCCGAAGCCCCACTCTGCCTCCTGCTGGACGCGGTCCAGGCAGGACGCTGCGGCTCGCGACCAGCAGCTGCACGCTGACTGGGACCCACACCTGAATAAAAGTCCAGCATTTGCTTTACAGAAGTGATGACTGCAGAGGTCACACGTCTTCGTTACAGAGTGCACAAAGTGTATATAAGCCAGCACAAGCCCCCGGCCCCAGCCGTCCTCTGCCCCGGACCCCACCCTTCCCGGGAACCACAGGGAGAGGCCGCCCCCACCCCCGCAGAGGACGCCCCCCCCCCCCGAGAGAACGGGAAGTGAGGACCGGGAGACCACAGGGAGAGGCCGCCCCCCTCCCCCGAGGAGGACGGCCCCCGCAGAGAGAACGGGAAGTGTGGCCGTGGAGAAAGGGAACCCGGACACTGGCCGGTGGGATGGGACGGGGCAGCTGCTGGAAAACGGTGCAGGTCCCTCAAAGTGAAAACCAGAAACACCCCGCAACCCCGCCGCGGGGCTCACGCCCGGAAGACACGGAGGCAGGGACCTGAACACACCCCTGCACACGCATGTGCACAGCAACACGAGTCACGACGGTCAAAGAGCGGGCGCAGCCCGCACGCCCGCCTTCCCCTGAGCGGGCGGCACAGCGGGGCCGCGGCGCGGACCGGCCTGGCGGACACGGCGCCGAGTGCAGCAGAGCGGAGACAAAAGGGGGGCACGGACCGTGTGGCCCTCCTGCGTGGGGGCCCCAGAGCCACCAAAGCCACGGGGGCCGGAGGGGGTGCATCCCGGGGCGGGGGTGGGCCATCGGCCGTCACGTGTGGGACGGGGAGGCCCCGGGCGCGGGCGGTGCTGGCCGGCACACGGCGCTCCCGGGGTGGGGGAGCGCTCACGCTGTGGGGCCGCACACGCGGGAGCGGCTGCGAGGAAGAGTAGGGCGCCTGGCAGGAGCAGCACTGGCGTGAGTGTGGCCGGTAGAGCGATCCCACGGGCGTGATAACTTACGGTTTTAACTTGAACATTTCACCTAAAGTGTCACACGGCGCTCCTGAATGCAAACGGTACTGCTATGTTAGAGTGACGTGCTTACGGTTTTGTGATGGAAAGGGGGGCGATACTTCTGCCGGACCCCGTATTATGCTATGTACGTTGAAAACAGTTGAAAACGGGCCCCCATCGCTCTGGGCAGGCCACGTCCCCGTCCTGCAGGGGGCGCTCACCTCCCCACCCAGAGCACAGCACCAGCGAGCGAACCCTGAGCACGGGTGGGTGGCGGCCCCAGGACAGCGCCCGGCGCCCGCCTTCCAGAAGGGGGGCCGGCGTGCACCGCACTGACGAAGGTCACTTCTCCCGCCGTCGGAACGTGCTACGTGAACCACAAACGAGCAGCGTGTTCAACCGGGGTTCCCACGCCGACTCTGGTACTTGTGCCCAGAGCTGCATGGCTTCTGGCACGTCCCTCTCCAGAGGCCGGGGTGGGGGTGGGGGTGGGGACCGGCGCCGTGGGAACACAAGCGCTCCCGGGGCGTGGCACTGGGCGCGGGGCAGCTGTCTGCCGTGTGTGGCTGGAGCGAACAGGACATTCGGGGCCGGGACAGCTCCGACCCCGGTCACCCAGCAACGCCCCAGGCCCCAGGCCCCAGGGTGGCTACCTTGTGAGCCAGACAGTCCTGCGCGTCATACCCCAGGTCCAGGGTCTCGCTCTCCGCCGACAGGTCCGTGAGGACGTCCTGCGAAAGGGCATCGGGAGAAGGGGCGTCAGCGGGGGTGAGGCGGGTCCCTCCGGGGGCCAGCGGGGCCGGCGCTCTCTCTCCTGGGTCGGACCGTCGGGGCCTGAACCCGTGAGGCCGGGACTCAGGAGAGAAACCCAGAGGCCAGGAGCTCCAGCGAGTCCTGCGGCAGGACCGGCTCTGGGCCAGGCACGGACGACAGAGAGGCGGCCCCGGGACCCGGGACCTGTCCCAGACACCCCCCCCCCCCCCCCACTGCACACACCCCAGCACCACCAAGCACCCGTGAGCCCTGCACTGGGGCTCGGTCCACAGCTCGCTGAGAAGTGAGGGAGCAGACGGAGCAGGCAGGGGAGGCTTCCTGGAAGAAGCGAAACCTGAGCCAAGAGCCCGCCCAAAACACTTGATTTGAGGGAGCAGGAACCAGGCACCGTCACCTGAGGGAGCCGCAGGACACAAGACAGGGGCATCTCCACGGGGGGCGGGCGGCGGGCGGGGCTCACAGGAGCCCAGCAGTGGACGCGCCCGGGGGGCACGGCAGAGAGGCGGCCTGTGGGAGGCAGGCGTGTCCCTAGGACCCGGGGAAGCACCCACCCCAGGCTGAGCCCCCAGTGCCCAGGGCTCACAGACTGTAAAGCGCCAACAAGCTGGGGCCAGAATCGTGCACTCTGTGCTCAGAGCGGCAGGAAACCACTGCAGGTGTCTGAGGAGTGCCCAGGTCTGACCCATGTGCCCAGGAGTCCCGTCGACCGGACTCGGGGCGGACTGGGGCAGCGGGGGACAGGAGACGGGGACCAGGGTCGAAGACGCTTCCCTGGCCCCGGGAAGACAGGACTGCGGCCGGGACAGGGGCCCCGGCGCTGGGGGTGGCCAGGAGACGGCCAGAGGCTGGGGCCCTGGCAGGGCGCACGCTCGACGGCCTGGGAGTGAGGCAGGAAGGGGACCGGAGGCCCCGTCCTCGGGTCTCCGTGGGCAGCAGAGGGACACACATGGGTCGGGGCGGAGGGGGCGGGGGGAGGGCACGACAGCATGATGCACTCGGACACGCTGCTTGACTACCTGTTCCTCCCTGGCGCTGGGAGTAGAAACTCTGAGGGGAGGGGAGGGTCCCCCGGGCTGGGGGCCTGGCCAGGCACGCCCGGAGTCACGTGGGCACCCTGCAGGCGCTCCTCCGGAGGCGAGCCCGCCCCACCCCCCTGGTGTCCACGTTTTCTGGCATTTCTCAGTTAAAAGGAAATAACTTCACCCATTTTTCAAAGGAAGCGTTTCACAACCCAGGATCCACTTCCCCATTTCCCGACCCGGGGCTTTCCTCCGTGTCCGGTGCGGGCGGGCACCGGGAGGGCCTGTTCCGAGACCGGCTGAGACGGACCTCCAGGCGTCTGAGCCCCGCACGCAGGCGTGTGCCCCCCCCCCCGTTCCCAGGCCTGACGGCGGGCCGCTCACGTGCAGAGACATGGTTCCTCTCACCGCGACCACCACGCACTCCTTCCTGTGATCCAGGGCCACTATGAAGGGGAGCTCGTAGACCTGCGGGGGGGGGGGGCGGGGGGAGAGGGGTGAGGCCGGAAAGAGCACGCTCACCGGCCACGGGGAGGACAGCCGCTTGGCTCTCTGTACGTCGAAGGCGTTCATGAACTGCACCTTCGTTCACATGAAAATGCCCCGTTTCCCCGCCCACTGGGCCTCCTGTGCGGCGGCCTGGCCCCTGCAGGGTCAGAGGCTGAGTCCGGTGCTGTACGGACCAACGACAGCCGTCCATCCGGACCAGGGCCAACAGGCGCCCTGCGCCGACTGTCGTCAGGTTACCACCACCCTGTCACCCACCGCGGGCGGGCGGGCGGGCGGGGCGGGATCAGCTTGGTGGGCGGGACCGGAGCCCCTGCCCCGGGAAGCACGAGCAGGTGAGAGAGGTCTGGGCCAGGTGGGCATCACTTCCGCCCAGCACCGAGCACAGGTGAAGCTGGACTCCGGGCTAGGACACCGAGGGCGCCTCCAGCTCGCTCGCTCCAGCTCGTGTTCCAGGGGACACGGTGGCCCCGAGCGCTGCGGGCTGGGGTGCGCACACGACGCACTGGGGCGGGCAGGCGCGCCCGGAACAGCCACCAGCCCTCCGAGAGCCGAGCAGCGGTCTTCTCCGAGACACCGCCGCTCTCGCCGCGGTGCGCGCCCACGGACCCGCACGGAGCTCATCGGAGCGAGGTCGTGCCCGGTCTGCCCCGGCCACTCGGGCTCCCTGGGGGTGGCCTGTGACCTGGGCCGCTGGGCAGGATGCTCAGCAGGGGCCCCCGATCTCTGCACACCGGAACCCCCTGAGGGCTCCGAGCGGGGGCCGCCGCCAGAGGCTCTGACACAGTGGACCCGGGTGCGGACTCGGTTTGTGGGGGCTTGGCAGCTCCCAGGAGATCCCACAAGGCAGTGCGCGCGAGGACTGAGAGACCTCTGCTCCTTAACCGCAGCACAGGGAGGGTCACCAGCTTCCCGGTGCTCCCGGGCCGCTGCCGAGTGTGAGGCCCGCCGCCCCACGCCTCTGTGGGTGCAGCTCGGACCCCGAAACCAGGACTGACCCACCCGAGCACCTCCGCGGGGCCCGCCCACACGGACCGCCTGCTCTGCAGCGACACAGAGACCCGTGTGCTGGCGCGGCGCGGCCCTCTGGGGAGGGCGTCCTGCTCCGTCGCGGGTCAGACCTGTGTGGGCTTCCGGGGCGCTGAAAGGCCCCTGAGATGACACGCAGAACTTGGGGCGGGGGGAGCGCGTGCTGTGCGTGCCCGTGCCCATCTTTCTGGGGGGGGGGGTAACTGATAACTTCCGTCGGAACCGAACGGACGCCAGGCCCCCGGAGAGGCCGGGCGGTGCCGCCACGCCGCACCTTGTCGTGGAAGCTTATGTGGATGAAGTCGCGGTACTGCAGCCCCGTCGTGTGCAGGATGGAGCCGAAGTGGCAGTGCAGATGCTCGCCTCCCACCACGTCGTACTCCGTGGTCCTGCTCCTGCAACTGAGCACAGGGGCGGCCGGCGCTCAGCACTGACAGCGCTGATGGGGGGGAGGGGCAGGCCCCGGTCTGGCCCTTCAGAGACCGCGTGCTTCACGTCTCCCTGGGGTGCTGGCTGCTGGCATCGTGGGGACGCTGCACGTTTTCAAAAACTGAATGACGTCAGCAAGGACAGAGGGGCCCCGGGATCGCCCGTAACGGGCCAAACCGCCACCCTGCGTCCCCACGGTGACGAGACTCGAGGGACCAGGCTCCTCACGGAGCGTCCCCACTGGGGTGTGCGGCGTGCACGCGGCCACCCACAGGGAGGGCCGGTCACGGCCCAGCTGGGCCGTCCCCCTCACGGCGTCGCGTCAGGGAAGGTGACACGCGGCCGAGAAGCTGCTCCGAGCTGGAGGAGAAACATAACTAAAATGCGTCGTCCTGGATCGGAGGGAAAGCCGCTGTGAAAATAGTGCTGGGACGGCGGGAAAGGCTGGAATACAGGTCGTAAAGGAGCTAAGGTTCAAGGTTAAATTTCCTGAACTTGACGACCGCCCTGGAGTCACGTGAAAGAACGTCCGTGTTCTCACGAAAACCAGGACGCAGTCACTGACATACAGGGACGCGGTGTCTGCAGCTACGCCCCGGTGCTCCGGGGAGGGCTGCAGAGGGTGACACAGCACCCGTGACAAGAGTGGGTCCCGGCTGGTGCCTCCAGATAAAGGAGATGTGGGAGTGCTTAGTGCTGTTCTTGCAGTTTCTGAAACACTGCAAAATAGAATGCTCTTTTTAAAGGGAACTATGATTGCTTTTAGAAAATAAGTGTGGGCAGCACAGCACGCGGCATCGGGGAGGGACGTGGGGGCCTCCTTGCACCCCTCCGCCACCGCCCCCCCGGCGTGGCCCCCCCGAGCCCACAGCCGCCACCCACCCCACGGCCTCCCCCCCGCCCCAGCCTACCAGTCGCCGCCGATCTTGCAGAGCCCCGTGAACGGGTTCCGGTAGATGTAGAGGGGCCACCCGTAGGCGGCCGCTGCAAACTGCATGTAGTGATGGCAGTTTTCTAACTCTGCGTTCAAATCGCCTTCCTGCGGGAGAAGACGACCAGCTCTTTGTCTAGGGGAACCTTCCGGAGGGGAATCAACGCGCTGAGACCTTGGACCTGAACTCAGGTTCCCGATCTCCCCTTTCTCTGCCCACCGGACAGACCGCTCAGAGCTCGTCCACGTCCTTACGCTCGGACGGCGAGACCGCTCGCTCTGCAGCGGGCGGCGCGGCCAGCGGGGTCAACAGCGGAAACCCCTAGCATCCCCCGGGGCTCCCGGTGGGGTGAGCGGGCGACTTCCTGCCCGACACAGGAGCAAGCCAGCAGACTCTCAGGCCACGGCCACAGGCCGGCTGAGAGCCGGGTGCCTGAGCCAGGTGCGGAGGAAGACCTGCAGCTGCGCGGCACCTTCTCTCCCAGAAGCACCAGGATCTGCGGCGGGGGAGCTCTGGTCGTGCAGAGCGGACCTGCTCCCCCCCCCGCCCCTCCCCCCAGGCCTGGAGAAGAGGGCAGACAATCCCCCAGACAGAAGCAGGCCCCCCCGCTGGGCTCACGGCCGTCTCCCAGAAGAGGGCGCTGTAGAACTACAGTGGCTGGCGAAGGGGCCAGGACTGCACTCCTCTACCTGACCCCAGGTGATGAGGAGCTGCCCACCCGACAGGTGACAAACCACAGCTGGCACAAGCCACTATTCTGATCCCAAGCCTGCTCCTGAGATAGCTGCTGGCTAGTTCTTTAAATTTGTTTTCTTAAAGACTTTATTTACTGATTTTAGACAAGGGGAAGGGAGGGAGAAAGAGAGGGAGAGAAACATCAGTGTGCAATTGCCTCTCATGCATCCCTTGTGGGGGACCTGGCCTGCAACCCAGGCTTCTGTCCTGACTGGGAATCGAACCAGCGACCCTTTGGTTCACAGGCTGGCGCTCAATCCACTGAGCCACACCAACCAGGGGGGTGTGTTTTCTTTCAGAAAGATTCACAAATGGGAGTAAACGTCAAGACTGTGCAACCCAACAGAAAGGTGGGCTTACCGGGGAGGAGCCTGGGGAGTGGCTGGTCACCTCCTTGGGCTCCTGGCTGTCCCGGACACTGTCCTGCTGTTGGCGGAGGAGGCTGAGGCCGGCTGCGATGTCGCTGGGCACCAGGTCCGTGTCCTGGGTGCGAGACCACAGCAGCCTGTCACATGACTCAGCGGGAGCTGCCCAGGGGACTCTCAAAACCAGTTTTATACAATTCGCATGTGCGCGCACACATGTATGTGCACACACACGTATGTGCACACACCAACACACACAGATGTCGTGTAGCGTTATCTGTAAAAAGTACTTCCCTTTCGGGGCTCCTCCTACAGGTGAGCTGAATGTGTTTTATTACCCTACCTTCAGACAAATCCACTGGAGAACAGAAAAGTTCTGTGGGTCTCTATTTTCAAACTTCCCTTCGATGGCTTAGCTGTTTTTAAAGCACATCCCATCCTTTATAAGGCCGGGGAGTAAGTGGGCAAATCTGCCACTTTTGTAGCGACGGCCGACTCTGGCCCCAGTTTATACTCTCGATGTTCAAGGTGCCCTGAAGGTTGTGCTGAAAGGTGCACGGGAGAGACCTAGGAGGCTGGCCTCAGTGGGCACGGCGCGCATGGGAGAGAGTCCTGACCTGGGAGAGCAGCCAGGTCCCTGCAGCCTGACCTTCCCCCGCCCTCCGGGAGGGCGAGCGAGCCGGCAGGGGCCACACCGCCGCAGGCACGTGTGATCCAGAGGGAGGAGGCGGTGCCGCCACCGCGCCCTGAGCCCTCTGCGTGCGATGCCGGTGACATCGCCCTCCAGGAAGAGCCAGGGTCTCTTCTTCCTTCTTACCCCTGGCTCAAGACTAGGTCGGAGCACCCCTTTACAGCGGCCTGGGGGACACGCTCCTCCGACCTGCACAGGGCGGCGGCGGCAGGGGGACGACGCGGAGCCGGGAGAAGGAGCACAGGCGCGTGGGAGGTCGGGAGAACGCCCCTGCCCCGAGCCGGTCTCAGCAGTGATTTCAGCAGCAGCCCGTCGGAGCCCACCGCGCGGGAAGGCACGCTGTACATGCGACGGGAAAACTGGTATTTCCGAGTTGCCGAAGGGAGCACCCTGGAGTGGCGACGGCCTTCCGCACGGTGATAAACAACGGCCCTGCAGCCCCCCAGATCACAAGCTCCCCAGGGCTGCCTGCTGGCAAAGAGGGACTGGCTCGAGGTGCTGTGCGCTCATCCTGACACAGGAGGCATTTACTGGAACGGGAGAAAGGGCTGGACCAGGCCCCGCCCGCCCGCGGCTCACCGAGAAGCAGGTGGACAGCAGCTCTGCCGTGCTCGAAAACGCGACACGGGTGTGGTCGTCCCTCCCGATGCAGCAGCACATAAACTTGACCCGCCTTTCCCACACGCTGGTGGCGGCTGTCCTGAGGCCCGTGAGGAACTGGCCCGACTCCTGACTGCTGCCCGGGAGGCTGGGGCTGGCGGTGGAGTGCGGAGCCATCTTCCCCCCCAGGGGGTCGAAGACGATGAAGATGGTGACCGCGGTGGAGACGATGATAATCCAGCTGCAAAACAGAGAGAACAGGCGGTGACCGCGGCCCCGATGTCAGAGGCTGGCCCCCGGGCTCCCTCCTGTGGCTGCTACAGCGCTCGTGTCTGCACAGCTGTGGCTCCGGCGACCGAGGGCGGGAGACGCAGCTCTCCCAGAACCTGGTGGAGGCGTGCAGCTTGTTTCTGGAAAGTTCCTCATGAGGCCCCCCAGAGCCCTGACCGTGCAGGTCACAGAAGGAAACAGGGGCAGAGTGGTGGCCCCCGGACCACGGCCAGGCCCTTACTCCCCAGCACTTCTTCTCGGTGGAACCGAGAGAGCTCTTCCCACAGCGTGAGCTTCTACCCAGAGGACAGAATGTTTGCAGGCTGTCCTCCACGGTCAGTCGCGGCTCCGTGGGCTGGTGACCGGGCTGCCACCAGAGGACGAGCCTCAGAGAAGGCACTCTGCTGCCCCTGGTGGTGAGACCCAGGAAGGGCACCGAAAGCAGGAGGGGAGGGTCCGTTCCCTTATTTCTAACACAAGGGATGCAACTAGATCTTGCAGAACTGTTTAGCCTGGAAAATGCAAAAATCTTTCCAGGTGTATGATTCCCCGCTGCCGTGCCTGACACTGTGTCTCTTCTCATCCTACGTTTACTTGTTTGCCTTTGTTTGGGGCGTCAGGTTTTCTTCCTTCTTGTGTGAGAAGGGAGGGGACACAGACAAATGAGAACTGGCCAGAAAGAAGACTCCGTCGACAGATGCAAAATGGGAGACGAGTTACTGCTCGTGTGTCAGCAGCTGCCTCTAAACTTTTACGGTTTCCTCACACAGGCGCGCCTTCTAACTGTGTCAGGAGCCTGCCCGGCGCGGGGCCGCCTGTCGTTACTGGGAAAGGCCTGCGCCCCTCCCTCGCAGGCGCGTCTGCCGCAAGAACCCGAAAGGGAGGACGGGGAGGCCTCACCTGACGACGACGGTGGCGATGATGCCGTTCACGACGATCCTGTCGCACTGCAGGCTGCCCGCGATCCAGGCGGCGCCCACAGAGGCCCAGGCCATCTCGGGCAGGAAGAGCGCCAGGCGCACGTACAGCAGCTTGGACATGGACTTCCGTGGCCCGGGGTTGCAGATGGTCCCTGAAACACAGCGAACACTCCAGCCGGTCACTGGCTTCCTCGGGGATGAAGCGTTTCCTTCCTGCGGGAGTGCGGCTGGCAGGGCCGCTGTGGTCCTGCACGCCCCGCCCCGCCCCACCCCCCGCCCTCTGGCCTCTTCCACCGGTGACTGCTAACCAGTGCCTGAGATGGAGAGCAAGCGACAAAGTGAGGGATGGGAAACGTGACGAAAAGCCTCGGATTCACTTCTTAGACTTATTAAGGTTTAAAAACACTCCGGGGTTCTAACTAGGCTGACCATGTGGCCATTGTCCAAACTGGAAAGGTGCCATTAACAATTATGTGAGGACAGCTCTGGCTGGTGTGAGTCAGTGGACTGAGCACTGGCCTGCGAAACAAAAGGTCGCCGGTTCAATTCCCTGTCAGGGCACATGCCTGGGTTGCGGGCCAGGCCCCCAGTGGGGGGCGTGGGAGAGGCAACGGATGGATGTTTCTCTTGTACATCAGTGTTTTTCTCTCTCTCCCTCCCTTCCCCTCCCCCTGCAAATGAATACATAAAGTTTAAAATAAAGATAAACAATTATGCTGGGACAACCAGTGTAAAACAGAACTGCCCCCAGCAAACAGAGGTGAAGGTCTAACAGACGAGAGCATGAGCTCAGCCCTGCACTGGAGCCCCTGCCAGTCCAGGCACCAGACACTTGGCACCCACCCCTCCTCAGCCCTCATGCTCCTGCGAGACAGTCACCACCCCCGGGTGCAAACCAGGAGCCCGAGGCTCCAAGACCTTAACAACCACTCTGTCAAACATAACCCAGGTCTGTGGCCCCGGCTCTCCGCTGCCCCAGCGCCCCACAGTGCCCACTCTTGGGGGGCGTGAACGGGTCTGATGTGCAAGACCACGTGGAGAAGCCTGACATCTTAGATGCAACATTCTTACTCTTTTTGCAAAACAAACCCAAGCACCAACGGAGACCTTCCAAGTGCTTTCATTCTTGACGGGAAGCATCAACTCTCTCCCTTTGGGGAAAAGTTCTGGTGCATGCTAATGTAACCGATGCAAAAATGCCACAGGATCAAAGCAAAGAGAGTAAATCTGAGCTCTGAAGAATGATTCGGTAAGGGAGTCGCTTCTAAGGTCCACAAATGACCTGCCATTAGGATGGATTACTCAGAACCCCACGTTAACATATCAGACACCGCTGGGCCTCCCTTCTGGCAGGAAGACAAGAGCTGGTGAAGCGACTGAACCGGCATCTCGCCGAGGGACGGGCGGGCGTGAAAAATCAGTTCTATATCTGGGGCTGTGATTGCGTAACAGCCGCCAGTGGCCGAGAGAAACAGGAATCGCTCTCTCCGCACACACCCACGGCTTCCTGGAGGGCTGGGCTCTGCAGGAGGGCGGACCCCTCACGCCCGGCACCCCCGGCCCGACCCGAAACTCCGACATGCTGATGCTGCAGGATCGAAAAAAAAAAAAATAACAGGGATGAGGAAGCAGGAAACGGAGTTCTGGTGAAGCTTCCAGAAGAGAAAGAACATACTGAAGACGACTTTATACAGTGTGCCTGCCCAGCAAAACATCTTTGTCTGACTTAGGTATTTCTTTTCTTCCCCGGGGAAAGCATTGTGGGTATGGCCCCGGCTGCTGCAGTGGGTGGGGTGGGGCCAGCACCCCGAGTTAACAAGACAGCTGTGTCCCCGAAGCTCTGTCCCCAGCAGTCCTGACGCAGTAACCCCCTTGTCCTACACCAGGCACAGCCATTTACGTAGGCGCCGCAAAAGGAAGGTCTGTGTCACAGAACCTTTGCATTCAGCACCTGGAGCCACCTGGCAGTCTTCTCCAGCCCGGGAGGACAGATGAGCTTCTGAGATAAAAGGGCAGATGCAAGATGTCCGATAATCAAACCCAGACTCAGTGAATGGCAGACCTCGTGTGTCAAGGGTGTTCCGCCCAAATGTAGTCGTCAGGAGGGTGGGGTGGGCCCTCCCTAATCACACCTCCCACGGGGTAGGAACAGGAGGATTTCATCAGGGAGGTTCCCAACTCAAAACGAGACACCACCACACGGACACCAAGATTCTTCCCAACCAAGCTACACAGCAGACCAACAAAGAGAGGACACGCAAGTACACAAGCTTCAGGCTTTTGCATAAAAATGACTGAATTCCAGCCCTGGCTGGTGTGGCTCAGTGGGCTGGGCACTGGTCTGTGAACCAAAGGGTCACCAGTTTGGCTCCCAGTCAGGGCACATGCCTGGGTTGTGGGCCAGGACCCCAGTGTGGGGGGTGGGGGTGCGAGAAGCAACAGATTGATGTATCTCTCCTTCACTTTCTCCCTTCCCCTCTCTCTGAAAAGTAAAACATTTTTTTAAAGGGACTGAATACCATTTGTTCTGCCTGTGCTCCACCACTCGCGTTTCTTTGAGAGAGAAGTCATCCGAAAGCTAAACAAACTTGGTCTTTCCACTCAAAAGACCCATGCACCACTGAGGTGGCTGACAAGACAGAGGGGGCAATGGAATTCACCCAGGTATCAAGAAGAAATGTGTTAACAGTTACTTAAAAATACACCTAAAATACACAATTTGTAAAAAAAAAAAAAATTCACTGATTTTGTGCAGGTCATGCACGTAAAGGGTGAAACGTTCAAACAGCTCAAGCACCTTCCTGCACCTTGCTGAAGGTGAGCTCGGACCATGGAGGCCTCCCAGGGAGTGCGCACCGACAGAACAGGTGCCGTGGGTACACGCCCTTGAGAACAAAGCAGCACACTCAGGCCGAGGCCGGCGCCTCTGCGCGGTGGGAACCCTCCCTCCTCTGCTCAGGCATTTCCCACGGCCTTTCCCAGGCGCCGGCAGACCCTGGGACAGAGGAGTCCCGGCACGCCGCTCAACCAGGGGCCCGTGGAGCTGGCGCCTGTGAGCAGCACCTATGAGCTCCCTACGAGCACTTCGCACGCATTCACACAGACGGGGAAAAAACGGACGGACGCACACACGCAGCCCAGCCGGGTTTCCAGGAGACCCGACCAGGTCGGGTGCCCGCCGGCCAGATGAGCTGCTTGATTCTCTGCGCGGCCCCCCGCGGCTCAGCGCGACGCCCACACCGGGGCAGACTTCTGTTCCTGGGACCGAGGCTGAGCGGTGGAAGAGTTATTTACATTTCACTGTTCGTGATCTTTGCCCATGTTTCCGCCATTGGTCTTTTCCTGACCCGTTTGATTACTTAAAGATTTTATTTACTTATTTTTAGAGAGGAGCGAAGCGAGGGAGAAAGAGAGGGAGGGAGACATTGATCGGCCGCCTGCCTGCGGTATGCGCCCCAACCAGGGGCAGAACCCGCGACCCCGGCGCGCACCCTGCCCAGCAACCTTTCGCTTGGTGGGACGACGCCCGGCCAACTGAGCACGCCGGTCGGGGCTTTTCCTTATCTGTCCCCAAAACTCCTTATAATTAAGGAGATTGGCTCTAAGTCTCACATGTCACAATATTTTTTTTTCCCTATTTGTCTTTTTTAAAAACATTCTTGCCCTGGCTGGCGTAACTCAGTGGATTGAGCACAGGCTGCGAACCAAAGTGTCGCAGGTTCGATTCCCAGTCAAGGCACATGCCTGGGTTGCAGGCCATGACCCCCAGCAACCACACATTGATGTTTCTCTCTCTCTGTATCTCCCTCCCTTCCCTCTCTAAAAATAAATAAATAAAATCTTTAAAAAAACCTTTCTTTAGGGTATGTTTCACCAAAATTTGCATATTTTTACCAAGGCATATGATGGTAATTGTGTGTAACAATTTGGCAATTGCATTCACGTGTTTTTATAAAACACTGTTTTCGCCTCAGCTGTGATGACTGACGCTCGCCACAGGTCACAACAGGAAACCCGACTCAAACCTGCTCGCTCCCCAGGAAGCCCTGCACGGACTTAGCGCTGGGACAGGTCCCCCACCCCCCGCCGGTCCCCGGAGCTTCTTGCCGCTCTGCCCTCCTGTGGGTGGGGGCTCGTGGCCTCGGCCAGAACGCAGTGGGATGCAGGAGCCCGTCCAAGCACAGAGTCATCCTGACGGGGATGACGGTCCTGGGGGAGCAAGGGAGGACTTCTCCAGAACTTCCCAGGAAACTCCCTGAGTTTCTCCGGCCCCAGTGGGGGCGGGGTGGGGGGGGTCACATGTCCGTTCCTGAGCCGGGCAGAGGGCCAGCTTCACTAACACACAGCCCTGGTATGTGGAAGGATGGGGGGCTGTCCCAAGTTAACCTGGGCGATGCCTGGAGGAGGCTGCCGGGTAGGCAGCCCCCCCCCCCCCCGTGTGCCGGCGCAGCCCGCACCAGTGCAGGCAGGGGCCGGGCAGATCCCGCGGCCGGCACAGGTGTGCAGACGTGCCCCGGCAGCCCCAGACGCATCTGAAGGAAAGCACTCCAGGGGGAGAGAACTTGACACTTACTGCTTCAACTCCAAACCCGCTATGAGAGTTGTAAACACGGTGTGTTAGCCGGAATGTGACCCGAACAGAAAGGACACATCAGTGAGGTAATGCTGTATCTGAGATGAGATCAATTTCAATACTTCATCTTTCAGGAACTCGGGCTTATAAACAACTTCATAACACCGCGAACGCCCCCTGGTACACCCCCCGTTCCTTTCCTTCCGCACCCTGCACCAGGGACAAGCCCGCCTCGGGGGCCGACACAGCCGCAGAGCGGGCACCTTCGCTGAGCCAGCCCCCGGGTGTCGCTGTTTTCGGGGGTGCCCCTAAACCACGCAGAGCTCGTTTCTACACTCGCCCCAGGAAGCGGGCACACGCCACGCTCCCTGGTCATCCAAACCCTAAGTCTTTCTCTCACGCAACACTTCGCCACTAACATCTTGCTCTGTCTCTCTCCCCGAGAACGAGCGTTCTTTAAGTCTCAGTCTGTCGTTCCAATGAGCTGAGATCCCGCTCTGACACCTACCGCGTCGGCTGCGCCCCCCGGGCTCGTCACCCTCTCGGTCTGGAAATGCAGCTCTGGTAGCCCACTCCAGCCACAATAAAACACTCGGCACGCTGGAAGGGGCATGCCCTGCCTTCTGACTGAGGAGCTTTACCTACTGATCTGTCTCTTTATGAGTCACCAGAGTGCCCAGCTCGCCCTGAGAACCAGAGCGATCGACGGGGAAGGCTTCCGGCACTCTCAGCTACGGTGGCTGTCGGCAGAAAATGGCAGAATGCAGGAGAAGGCATCATTAAGAATAGATGTAACTCTAACAAAGAAACAAGCAAAATATAACCAAAGACACGGAAATACAGAACAGGCTGACAGAGTTCAGAGGGGAGAGGAGAGGGAATTTCAGGGGCATTTCAGGGGAAGAGGGGAAGGGTTTACAGGAACAAGTATAAAGGACACATGAACAAAAACTAGGGGCGGGTGGAAATGGGAGGGAGGAGGGGAGGGCTGGGGGGGTGGGTTGGGATGGGAGTAAAAGGTAGAAAATTGTACTGCGAAAACAATTTAAATACAATTAAAAAAATAACTAAATAAATTTATATGTAAGTAAAATTTTTATCAAATAATGACAATTTCTAGACAGGGAATTAAAATAAAGTAGAGTGTTAATACTGGAGATTAAGGGGTCAGGGAAAGGTTTTCTAAGGAGACAGTGCTGAACCTGAGATCTGAATATAAAGAAGACAGAAACCATCTGAAGACTAAAAGGAATAACAAGACAAACAAGGGGAACCGCCAATGTGAAGTTCAACCCTAAGACAGAAATGAGAGAGGTCAAGAGAAAAATCAGTGTCAACAACTGCTATGTGAAACTTCTTTCCTTCCCTCCCTTCTCGTCCCCCCGCCAGTTCCTCCTGCTGGAGCACCCAACAGGAAGCTAGTGAGCAATGGAGGCCGAGAGTTACAGTGTGCCGGTTCTTGCCCTAACAGCACAGAGCAGAGCACACAAAGGTAGGTATGGGCTGAGAGACAGCAGTTTAAAAATAAGCACTGTCCTGGCTAGCATAGCTCAGTGGATTGAGTGGGGGCTGGGAACCAAAGTGTCCCAGGTTCGATTCCCAGCTAGGGCACATGCCTGGGTTGCAGGCCATGGCCCCCAGCAACAGCACATTGATGTTTCTCTCTCTTTCTCTCTCTCTCTCTCTCTCCCTCTCTCTCTCTCTCTCTCTACCCCCCTCCCTTCCCTCTCTAAAAATAAATAAATAAATAAAAGTCTTTAAAAAATAAGCACTGTCCATTGTTTTGGTTATTTACACCCTTTTACACATATTAAATAAACTTCTGAACAGTGACAATAACATCATATTTACACCATATGAGATGCAACCATCTCCTATGCAAATGAAGATACTCTTACCTTTGTCTCAAATAAAAAAAATGTTCACACACACACACACACACACACACACAAAGAATAGATGTAACTCTTGCGACTCATTAGTGAAAGGGCAAATAACCCACTTTGAAATTGGGCAAAGGACCTAAGTAGACACCTCTCCAAGAGTGGCAACAAATGGCCAACCAGCACACGAAAAGAGGCTCAGCATCTTCAGTCATCCAGGAGATCAAATCCAGGAAATCAAATCCAGTCGACCGTGAGCGCACCTTTCGCCTCCACGCCGGCGGCTGGGAGGAAGCCAGATAACAAGTGCTGGCGAAGATGTGCCGAACCTGGAACCCTGATACGCTACTGGTGGGAAAGCAAAACGGCGCAGCTGCTTGGCAGACAGTCTGGCAGTTGCTCGGAAGGTTACACAGAGTCCCTGTAGCAATTCCCCCGGAGCGGGGGGCACATCCACGAGAATCGAAAGCATGTGTCTATACAAACACACGGAGGTAAATGTCACAGCAGCCTCATTTGTAACAGCCAGAAAGTGGGAACCACCCAAATGCCCACCAACTGGGGAAGGAATCAGTAAAATGGGATAGACGCACCCAATAGAATATTACTCAGCCCTAAAAGGAATAAAGTACTGACACATGCTACCACCTGGGTGAACCTTGAAAACAGTGGGCCTAGGTAAGAAGCCAGGCCAAAAGGCCACATACGGGGTGACTCTACCTACATGAGGTCCGGAACAGGCAACGCTGTGGGGAAAGGGTGTAGCCGAGGGTAGCCGGGGGCTGGGGAGAAGTGGGGAGGGCCTGCTCCTGGGTGCGGGGTTTCTTCTTGGGTGATACAAACGTTCTAACAAATGGACGGAGGTGACAGTTGCACGACTCTGGGAATACACCGAAACCCACTACCCTGCACACTTGAAATGGGTGAGTCGAACGGTGTGCGAATTACGTGCCGATAAAGCTGTCACACACAGGAGGTGTCAAGCAGAAAGGGCTGCCCCTTTACCTCTCATGCTGACACCCACGATGGCCGACACGGTGCAAATGATAACTGCCAGGAGAATGATGAGCACGATCAGGTAGCTGCTGAGCAGGACGCCGCCGGCACAGTCCAGCCTCGCCCTGTGCCTGACGTACAAGGTCAGGATGCCAATCCACCTGTCGGCAAACGGGGCGAGGGGGGGGGGCAGTGGTCAGAGGTGCAACCCAAGGAGCTGCTTTGCAAAACATGATGGAAAGCAAGAAAAGGAGTCGATATTTTCCAAGATGAGGTGAGGTTTGCTCTGAAATATCACTTTCATCAGTCAATGAGTTTTACACTTCCCATGCTTACGTGATTGCTCTTTTTCTGTGCCTGGTATAATCTGCACCTGCTACAATACAGGAAAGGCATTTACAGCCATAAGAAAGCAAGTACAATTTGGGCTGCTGGAAACAGCCCCCCTGGTGACTCAGAAATACACAACTGGTAAACCAACAAACTACATGCTTGCCAAACTATTACCAAGAGAATTTTTACTTCTGTGGATTCACAAGAAATGATAAACACACATTGGGCCCTGGCTGGTGTGGCTCAGTGGACTGAGTGCCAGCCTGCGAACCAAAGGGTCACGGGTTTGATTCCCAGTCAGGGTATGTGCCTGGGTTGTGGGCCAGGTCCCCAGTAGGTCGAGAGAAACAACCACACATTGATGTGTCTCTCCCTCTTTCTCCCTACCTTCCCCTCTCTAACAATAATAAATAAAATCTTAAACACACACACACATTTTAATCTACTATGTGTAATACAAAAAAGGCATGAGAAGCAAGTTATGCAACGATGTTCTATTCCGCACACTGATAAACTTGAAAGGCCAAGCACTGTCCACTCACAAATATGGTTTGTAATTCAGCCCATAAAAACGAAAGGCAGCATCCGGTAACGCCAAAGCGATGGACCTGTCACTGGAGTATTTCAGCAGAGGGGTCTGCCCGCCTGGCGAGAACCCGGTTTTAAGGATTGAGGTACAGGCCAGGGATTCTAGTCAAGTGGAAAAGGACTGGATCATTTTGTATGCTCTTGTCAGCTCTGCGGCAGTATGACCCTGTCTCTAGAAGTAAGGGGAAATGCCTGGAAAGACTTAACTCCAAAAACTCTTGAAACCACTGAGCAGCAGCTCCTAACGTTTCGTGTTTTTCTCTTTCCCGTCAAAAATCCGCTATAGCAATGGTGTTGCTCCTTGTTCAGACTCTGAGAACAGACCTCGGGGCCCCAATCCCTACGATTTCACGCTTTGACAAACAAGAGCGTATATGCCTCGCTTGTCTGCCGCTCGTGGAGTTCAGCCACGCCCGGCTCAAGAGCGGCAGTGAAGGGCGCTGTTTCCCCTCTTTCCCTTGGCAGGTACCCGATGCTGGGCGCCCCAGCGCGGGGTGCAGGAAGGATGCAGGTGGCTGCTTCTGGCTGGGGGAAGCAGATCCCCAGGCTTTGGATTTCGGGAAGCAAGGAAGTCCCGGGGGGGCTCCCAGAGCCAAGCCTCGGCCCGCACGCAGGGGCCGGGGGAGGGCAGCTCCTGCCCCGCAGCGCGCGCGCGCGCGTCCCAGCCGCGGGCCCACCTGCTCTGGGCCTCAGTTTTGCCGTCTGCAAAATGGGGGAGTAACAGCACCTACCTCCTCGGGCGGTGGCGGGAACTAGGTAAGAGAATGCAAGGCAAACTCTGGACCCTGCAGTCACCTGACGACCGCCACGGCTCTCCGCCTGCCCGCCGCCACCCCGCCCCGCCCGCTCCCTCCTCGGCCCGGGACGCCCGCAGGCACGGAGTCGAGCCCAACGCCCTCACCACAGCACACGCAGGAACAGCTCGAACAACCCCGGGAAGACCAGGTCGTCGCTGGCGATGGCCCAGCGCCGGCCGAAGAGCACCATTCCCGGCATGGCGAAGGCCCCGCCGCGCAGCCTCGGGACGGCCGGCCGCGCGCGCGTCTCTGCCACCGAGTGTCCCGCACCCTCCCGGCTGCCCAGCCAAACTGACGGCGGCTCCGCGCAGGCGCGCGCGACTAGGGCGCCCGGCGCATGCGCATGCGCACGCCGAGGCCGAGGCCGAGCCCGGAGCGCGCGGCGGGGCGCTGCGCCCGTGCAGGTGCGCGGTCCCGGCGGGCGCGGGCCGCCGTCCTCGCAGGTGTGCTCGGGCGTGAAGTCCGTCCTGCTAGTATTTCCATTTTCTAGATGAAGACCCAGGTGGAACCCCGGAGGGAGCGCTCAGCCGACAGTCACCCGGCTGTTACTGCGGCTCGTCCCCGCTCTGCGGGGCGCCGGGCCTGCGCCAAGTCGCGTCCTCTGTGCGTCCCACGGTCCGGAGGAAGGAGCAGGGGACCCTTCCCGAGTTCGGGGCCGGGAACCGCCTGGCAGCTTGGGGCTGGGGGAGTGACCTGCCCCGCCCTCCTCCCTCCCGGCAGGCGCAGTGTTCGGTGCCTTAGGTCCGGACCACGTCTCAGCACCTCCACTCTCCTGCCTGGCCCGAGCCCCCGTCATCTCGAGCCCCACTGCTCCGCTTCCCTCCGCCTGGCTCCCCCTGCGACGCCTTCCCCATCCAGCAGCCCGGGGGACCTCGTTGCACCGTCAGCCCAAGCCCATCCTCCGCCTGGACCTTGCAAGGCTGCGCTTCGTGTACAGAATACTAGACTCCAACCCCCTCGCCAAGGCCTCTCCCTGGTAGTCACACATCACGAGTCCGCACAGGAGTGTTTATCTGCCTCCCCGCGCTGGGGTTGCTACTCTCCATCACCCCACTGCCTGCCAGCGTTTGTTCCTCGCTGAAACTCATTCTCGCCCTGGGGCTGTTTACATTTTCTGTTTCCTGAGCCAGGGGTGCTCCACCCACCTGTGTCTCCGCGTTTCATTTCTTTCAGGCCTCAGCTCAACTGTCGCTGCCTCTAATAGGCCTTCCCTGGCCACCTTATCTAAAACGGCACACCCATCGGTCCCCATTCCCTTCCCCTGCCCCTTGAGTTTTCATAGCCCTCAACCTCTCCCTGGCATTTACCGCGTGAATTCCCTCTCTGCTCCCACCTTCCCGTGTAAGCGGTGTGAGCTAGGCACCCTGCCCACCTTGTTCACCGCTGTGCACGTGATGCAGTACATTCAATGGTTGATGAATGAATAAACAAACAAACCCACTACATGTCAAGATTTCCCAAGTCTGAAGTTCTTTCAGGGGTCTTCTAAAGGACAGAATTTCAGGGTTAAAAAAATTAATAATATTGAAATTGTATTGGTAGTTGTTAAAATGATACAAGGAATTGTAAATAAAAGGAAGTTATAAGATTTTTATAGAGGAGAGCCATTCACCGATGCATGAAGTTAATATTTACTGGGTGCCTGCTTAGGCAATGAGCGGTCAGGGAGGAAGGATATCCCTGAAGAAGATATTAAAATGAGGTTTGGAGAGAAAGTGGGAGTTAAGGTGAGGGGTGATTCAGCAGTTAGGGTAGACCTGTGATCACACACATTCTTAAACGTAATTGTGCCCTTTTGAAAACAGGGTTTGTAAGGCTTTGCAATCAGATAACTTTTCAACACAAACTTCTGTTGGTAAAGGCAGGTATTGTGGAAATATCATAAACAGTGACCACCCACAAAACTGAGTTTTAGAGGTAGTATGCACATTTAAATAATGATGCATTTTTGTGTAGATCTAATCCACAAAATGTGTGTCCTGCCCTTTCCCTGTAGTATCAATCCATTCGTTGAATTAAGCCCATTTTAAAACATTTCATCATACGGGTATCTCATACAGAGCTTATTATTCCCCTAAACACTGGCTTTCAATTTTCTATTAAAATGGCTATTTGAAAAGAGATGTATAAAAAAGATCTATTTTAAAAGTGTTTCGTGCTTTTTTCCTGAGATGAAAACCCAAGTCCAAGCACAGCTCTTGAAAAGGCCAGTGACCCGTCATGACTATTTTTTCAGTGATGAAAATTTTCAGACAGAGGCATGGGACACTGAAGGGCCTACCGTCTAGATTTAACAATGGGTAGCAGTCTGCTGTGTTTGCTGTCTTGTGTTTTGGGGGGCAATCATCTTAGGTGTCCTTTTCTGCTGTTGTTTTGGGTTAATTTCCCTATTTATTTGCAAACAATGGTAAGTATTCTTCAGAGACCTTTCTGGCACTGATCTTTACCCTTTCATTTTCCCAACTGATTCATCTGCTCCTCTTTCTCTCCCCTGAGGACTTGATTTTCTTTGAGTAAGTGTCTGTGCCCCAAGTAAAACGAGCACCCTTGCATTTAAGTTTCCTGTGATTGTGTAGGTCATTGGCGGTGGGCAGTTTTAGCCCGGCGCTGGGTCCTGGCTTTTCTGAGCATTCTTTACAGTCCTGAGATCTTCAGTTTTCAGAACTTTAACAAGTCACTTTTTTGGTTTCAGGGCACACCAGCTTCCCTGTTACAGAACCATTGATTGTCTTAGAAACCTTGTAAGTAGTAAGTAAATACCGGTAGGGTCTGTGTGTCCATTGTTTCAGTAATGGAGGAAAGTGTCCTGTAGTGAGTGTTGTGTTTGCCTAGAGACCTCCCCTTTGACGTGCCCGAGGCAAAGCTGGGAGTAGAGACCTGGAGTATTCGGGTGTGATAAGAAAGTACCCTGGTCATTGCTGAAAAGGAATAGTGCTATATGGTGCCTCAAGTTGCTTTCAAACTGAAGGGATATGAGGGGATTGCTTCAAAACTGCAGGAGAAACACCGACAGCACCTTCGCTGCAAAGGCTAACCCAGAAAGGCGGGGCTGGGGGGCGGGGCCGGGGCGGCAAGTACTGAGCTGAGCAGAGAGAGCTCAAGTTCCTTGGGAACTCCACACTTAGCCACTAGAGGGCGAGGCACACGGAAAACCCCCACCTGGAGTCCCAGTGCAACCGGCCCTACTCTGACCTCCCTGGGATGGGCGGCCGGGAAGGCACCCAGTGTATTTCTATAGATGCATTGGTCCCCCAACAACGACACAGCTGCCCAGGGCCATCAAGTGGGCCACAGCTGGTCCCGCCAGCTTCTGAGGCAGCTGTCCCAAGCTGAGCACACAAGGAGGGGAAATGGAGGCCCCGTTGGTGCTGGGCACATCGTGGGCATGACGCTGCGTCCTGAGCTTCGCCCACACGGGCTCATCGCCACCTCACAGAAACCGCCCGGCAGGAGACCCCGCCATCTGAGGGGGGACAGGACACACGTGAGGTCCAGGGTCACAGAACTGGAGTGTGGGGAGCCAAGACTCTTTTCTTCCTCAGGGCTCCCACCAATCACTTCCAATTGAAACGAAACCATTGCTTGACCTTCCCTGGGTTCTGGTTCCTCCTAGTGGAGTGGTTGGAGCGGCGGGATCTTCTTGCAAGACCTCCTACCTGCACTCCCTGAATGCCCCCCATGCCCCCTGCCCCACCATTTCTCTCCTTTCTCTCCTGACCAGGCTGCAAAAAGGCAGGAAACGCCATTCTGAACGTGATGGAGCTGGGCAGGGGACGTACCGGGGTTCGTGGGCAGCCAGCAGCTTCTCACTGATCGCGCGGCGAGCAGTGTACTAACTATGCTTTCTCTCTCTCTCCGCGCTTACATTAAAGAAAATCCACGTAAATAAAACAGCTCAACAGAAAATCTTAGTTACCTGACAGCTTTATTCGGGGAGTTACTCTGAAACGGGGCTGCATTAGGGGCGTCGGGCCAGGCCTCCGTGGCAGGCCCATTTCTGGTGTGTGTGAGGACGCCGAGGTCCCACGCCACGGCTCAGGCAGCCTATTGAGACGCCACCCTGGTTGGCACAGGGTGGTGGTCACATTGCAGCCAATTCTATTTTCACTTGGGCAGAATGACCAGAGAAGGCAGGTATTTCAGAAACCTGGCGGCGTGCTGAGCTCCCGGACCCGAGCTCTGTGCGCCGTGCTGCCCCGTGAACCGGCCCCGCTGGTGTCTGGGTTACGTGCACAAAAACTTGTGGGGTCCCCCACCCGGTCCCCAGTCTGGGCGGCAAGCAGTCTGCTCCACTTATGGGAGCGTTCCTCCCCTCCTCGAGGCTCTCGGAATCTTCTGGGGAGGATGGAAACAGGAGCTAAAGCAAGACGAGGACGCTGGAAAGAGACACGGATCCACAAAAGCAAAGCCTCGAGGGGAGGGCGGAGGCAGAAGGAGAGAGGGAGAGACGGGAGGTTAAGCCATGCAGCCGCACAGCCAACGGAGAGAGACGTGAGAGACACACTGGGTAAAAGACCCAGCCAGCTCCCTCCTTCGGTGCGGCAGGTGAGCCCGCTGCGCCCCGCTTGTAGTGAGCCCCGTCAGTGTCCAACACCTTGACCGTTAGGGTGCGTTCACGCACTTTTGCATACATCAAAAAACGTGGCAAATCAATCTAATAGCAAAATCAGAGGGAAAAATTCCAATTTTCCCATAAAACACAGACAATTGTTTTCAGCCCTGTATAGAGCTTTGGTTGCCAAATGAAAAGCAAACAAACAAAAAATCATCCTGCCACAGGATGTTCCAAAAGCCTAATTCATGAAAAAGAGACAGTTTATTTTATGTTTAATAAAACGTTTATTAAGGTGGTAACACAAGATAAATCATGCAAGAGCTCAGTAAAAACAAAACAAAAAAACAACAAAAAAAAGTAAGAATATGAGGAATGGTGATTGGTTCTGCCAATTTAAAAATATGCAAATCAGTTCTGTCCCAAGAGTAATTTGAAAAACTGTTTGAACCTGAGCCGGCCATGGCTGTGTCGTCTTCGAGAACTGCAGACCAGAGTGACGGGGGAGCACTTGTGTCCCAGTCCTCAGGGGAGCCGAGTCCCGGATCCAGAATCACCACCAGTGTCCCTCGCCTCCCACGCCGCACGGCAAGCAGCCAGAGCCCCGCCCACCCACTGAGCCCTTTGACACCCCTGGGGGGTCTCAAAGGGACGCTTGTTAGCAGGGCAGCAGGCAGGCACCCTTGGTGACTCTTAAATGAGACCCTGTCTGCACTCAGAACCTTAAAATGCTTGGTAACAACCACCGAAGTACTTGCACGTCACCTCTACCAGCCTCAAACGTAGTGTCGCGGGTCCGAGGGAGGGTGTCCACATCCGAGGGCAGAAATGTGAACAGACACACCAGGCTGCCCATAGTGTTTCAGATTTCAAACGAGCATGACTCATCTTTTGGCTAAAAATAAATATAGTGGAATGCAAGTTCGGTAGATGGGTGAATATATAATCTACCAAATGTCAAGGAATACAATTTCATCACAGACATTTCAACAATTTCAAGGAATTAAAAAAAAAGTTTGCACAATTTCTCACAAAATCATCACTTTTGGAACTACCCCAATTGAAGCTACACACTGAATTTATTAATACAGCATTAAGTTTCTTTGTGTAAAAAAATCTTTGTACATAGTAATAAAAAAAGATAAGGCAAGATGCATCAAACAGAAACCTCTGGGTCTTCTTCTCCGGGCTCTCACGCAGCCGCGGGCATCTGGCTGCAACGCAAGAGCCGAGTTTCGGTTTCCCGTGTCGCGCATCTCGTGCCTTCGCTGCGGTCGGAAGTCTGGCCGAGCACCCCGGAGGACAGATGCTGGGGACGGGCTTTGGCACTTACGCTGGCAGGCTGAGCTTCTTCCCCTTGAGTACTGGGGCCGGAGAGAAGGGAGAGCGAGAGGTCACGGCACAGGCGGGCTCCGGTCTCCTCCCCCCACCCCCGAGGCCCGCCACACTCAGCACACCACAGGGCGGGTAAGGGCAAGGACATGAGCTTCCGGCAACCAACAGCCATTGGATTCGGGTGTCAATGGAAACACAAACGTGACTGAAATTATCGCTAAGTTGTAGCAGCCATCTGTTTTCGTGACGTTCTCCCCTAATCAATACACAGCAAACGGACCGTCCCTACGCACAGAGGTCCACACAGCCTGGATATTAAAGAAGAGGCCAGAGGACACGCGTGCCCCGGAGCTGGCAAGTCCGCTCTCAGGACTTCACTGTAGCAGCCGCGGCTCTGCGGCTCCAGCCCGGGGCGCACAGCTGCGGCTCGGGGGCTCCTGCGCCCCGAGGGCTGCGGCCGGAACCCCGGTGCGTGCGCACAAACACACGCTCCTCCCGAGCCGGGCCCACCGCTGGCCCCGGGGCTCTGGGCAGGTCACGCGTTCCACGCTCACGCCGACGTGACGACGCGCGCACACAGGGACGCCGACGGAAGTGCCAGGTCTCCCGAGCGGCAGGACGCGGTGGTGGCCCGAATGTGCACGGGCGGGGCGGGGCGGGGCGGGCGCACTGCGGGGGTACGTGTAACAAACACTGCGGCTGCTGGAACCGCGGAGGTTTCCAGTGACGGACGTGAAAGACCGTCCGTGGGGAAAGCAGTCAATCACGTACCCGCTCACGTGCATGGGGAGAGGCCTGGAGTCACATTTACAGAAACATGACCAGTGGTCTCTGAGGGGCAGGACTTCAGGGGGCTGTCTGTGGAATTACTAGTTCTAAGTGGACTTTTTACCATGAAGACACGCCACTGCAGAAACAGCACCGCCACAGCCAAAGAACAGACAGAGAACCTGACCCAGAACCGAACCCAGCGCTCGCTGAGATGGTTTCCCATGGCTGGTCCCGCCCCACGGAGCGGGAGCCGGAGCAGGAGCGCGCGGGCCTCGGGAACAGGGCCGGCGGGCGGCCGCCTACCTTTCGTGATGTACAAGTAGAAGAAGTCGCAGTACAGGATGGTCTGCACCACGCCGGCCACCACGGCGATGAGGTCGAAGAAGCCCTCGAAGTAGAAGCGCCAGATCCAGTTGACGAGATAGAGCGCGCGGTAGAGGCCCAGGAAGAACAGGTAGTGCGTGGTGATGGTCTCCGCCTCCCCGGTCTTGCTGATCATGAAGAGCTGCGGCAGGATGGCCACCGACTCCAGGTAGATGGAGAAGGTCCACAGAATCTGCGGGCGCACGGGCTCGGTCAGCAGCCGGGCCCACGCGGGTCACAGCAAACGCCCCTGCTGCGCCACGGGGTGGCGCCGCGAGCAGGGGCCGGGCGCCCGCGCCCGGGCCGGAGGAGCTGAGCACCGTCGAGAGGCGCAGACCCTTCAGCTGCGTTCCCGAGGTGCACGTTCCGGGTGCCAGGCTGGGTCACCGGGGCACCTCCGCCTCCTTCCCTGCACAGACCTCTGGGGTCTGCGTGTGCGACGTTCCCCCCGGGGAAGCGTGTCCCAGCCTGGACCCAGGGACCCGAGTCAACGCCGCTTTCCGCCAGGGCGACCACTCTGACAACCAGGCTCCCCCGCTCCCTCACTGCTAACTTCCCTCACCAGCCGCTCTCCTGTCCAGACCATCCAAATCGTCTATTCTTCCTACTCTTTAGGCATTTTTGATGTGGTTAAAGGAAAGGGGTAAGAAGTCAGAGTTGTAACTATGCAAACTCTGCCCAAACTCCATTCACGCTGAGGACAGAGGGGCTCACAGGTGGCCCCTGGAGTGCTGTAAAGGCCCAGGCACTCAGAGCGCCCCCAGAGGACCGACAGCAGCGCGGGCACTGAGCCCCAGGGTGCGGAGGGAGGGCCCGGCACGGAGGAGCGGCTGCGCCCCGCACAGTGCCGGGGCACCACGCAAACTACGTTTCCTAGAGCTGAGGGGTGTGGCAGCAGAGCCGCTCCCGGGGTCACAGGCACGGCCTCAGCGTGCAACACCTGCCCGTCAAGGGGAGACAGAGCTGGGGATCACGCTCATCAAACCCTCAGACAGGCTGGGGCGCGTCTGGGGCCAAGGAAGCCAGGTTCGCACTGCAGAGGAGTCAGTCAGGCGACAGCCTGACGGCAGACACCCAAACACCGGGGGGCGTGACTCCTGCCCCCGATACACCAACAGTCTGCGCTGCACCAGAGGCCTGCCAACCGGAACCAAAACAGACACCCGGGCAGAGCAACCCCACGCTACCTGCGACAGGCCTATCTCCCCAGGGGACCGGACGTGTCCACCGAAAAACCGCTTTACGGACCTCGAGAGGAGAGAAGTCGTGGTTGACGAGGAACGAGAGGCCTCCCACAGGGACCACCAGAAACTCCACCCGGAAGGTGTCGTGGTTGCCGTCGTACGTCGCCTTGAACTTCATGTAGATCAGGTACACCGTGGCGTAGGAGCAGGCGATGTAGATAAGCTGCGGGCAAGGGAACACCACCAGGCCATCAGCGCCTCCCAGTGCTCCCACCCCCCGGCTTTCCGCAGCGTCCATGCACATACGCCGCGTGAACGGAACCACACAGCCCGTGGACTGGCAGGCCAGCTTCCTTCAGTCGGCTGCCTACACCCGAGCCCCCACCCCCACCCCGTGGCTGGTGCGTGAGCAAAACGAGCGGCCCCTGCGGTGCGGGGCAGGGGCAGCGGCAGAGCCCGCCCGCGCCCCCGGTGGCACCGGCCGTTCCCAGCCTGACCGATGCTGCCACAAGCGCTGTGTGCGGGCTGTCGTGTGGCCTTTCACTTCTCTTGGTGAACACCTAGGAGTCGGGTCCCAGGTCGTATCTTAAATGTAAGTCTAAATTCATAAGAAACTGCCAAAGACAGTATTTTTAATCTCACTTTAAATTATTAGAATGCTGCGTAAGGGGAAAAAAAGAATGCAAAGTTCGATGCAGTCCAAAACCAAGGTCCTCCCTTCCAGCACCGCGGTGGTGCTCAAGGCTCTCTGAGATAAAACAGCGCAACTCCCGTTAAACTGTGCAGTGATGGTCTTCACTTAAATTATGTTGCTTTAACACTGAACGCTCAGGTAGCTGCTATGAAACTCTGTCCGGTAATTTAACAAGAGCAAACCTGAAAGTAAGTGAAAAGGAAGTAAGTGTAAAACGCCGCTGCCTGCAACAGGAGTGACTTCAGCCGCACAGCAGAGCTGCCAGGGGCTGCCGTGACCTGCCGTGACCTTGCCCACCGGAGAGGCCAGCGCCGCCAATTCGTCTGACCCCGAGGCCGAGCCTGACCTTCGGAAGCTGTGCGGGTTCTCAGACTGCAGAGTCTGAGGCCCAGGAACCCAGGAGCAGGTTGGCCCGGGAACCCAGACAACCGGGCCACCCGCCGCCCTGCTGGCGCGACTTTCTAGGACAAGTGTCTCCCAACACCCAGCTGGGCGGCGTTTGGGCGAACAGCCTAGGACAACGGAGCGGTCATCGAGCCCTCACACACTTCGACGCAAACACAGACACCACACTGTCCCTGGCGCCTCGTGAATGATATCTGCCAATAGTCAAAAGGTATAAAAATTGTTGCTCATACCCATCCACACACCAAAAAACTACCAAAAAAATCAAGAGTGGTATCTGATACTGTCAGAGTTCTCGCCACACATAAATACAGGTACACACGCACATGAATAAAATAGCATACAAAACCAATGCACACAGAGTCCCCCACGGTGGCCAAGGCGCACGGCAGCCAGCCCGTGGCCTGCCCGGACCACGTCCACGAGGCTCAGCAGCCGCAGGGGACAGAGCCCCTTCTCCTCCCGCCATGGCTTGGCGGGACAGTAGAAAGCTGAGTGTGTACAACTCGACTCGCACCCCTGACTTTTCGGGTGTGCTTGGAAACCAGGACCAAGCAGAAGGAATGCTCCGAAAGCCAGCCACCTGCCGGGGGGGGAGGGCTTCTGGCCCACACCCTAAGGCCTGCAGCTTCAACCTGCCTGGACAAGCGGCGACGCGGGCCGTTTTAAGCCAACTTCCTGATGACGAGGCTCCTGTCGCCCGCTGATGGGAGCGTAACGATTCCAGGCAGCAGGCTCCCGCGCTGCTCTGCCTGCTCTGACCCGGGCGCACGGAAACACCTCTGGGCACCACGTGTGGGGGAGCCGTCTGAAATGCCACGCGGCGGGCTTCGGCGCGAACACCACCGCCTTGGCTGCGCCGATAACCAAGCGCCCGCGCTCCACCCACGAGCTCGCTGGGCAGCTGAAGCGTGAACGAAGGCGAGAACCAGACTCCTTCAAACACTCGCCCCGGACCCGCACTGTCGTCTCCCTCCCGGCGCCCACCCCAAACCGCAGCCGTCCGTCCGGCCGGCCGTGGGACGACTGCTCTCCCCCAGCAGACCGACCTCTGCTTGCTTTCCGCCCCGCCCCGGTGCCGGGGAAGCGCCCGCTCCGTGGGCCCTCGGAGCCGTGTGGCAAAACTGAGGCTCCTCTAGGCGCGGGGCGTGTCCCACCAGGAGCCACACGGGATGTTAGGTGTATGTGGACACTCCGTACTTGAACAGTTACATGTCTGTTTTAACGTGGGCTCGGGAAAATGCACGGACACCAAAGGCACCGTGGATCTGACGCGGAGGATAAATCACAGGTTTAAAACACGTGCCCGGTAAATGATGGCACAGACGCGTCTGAGCTTGGCGAGAGGAATGCACACGCAGCGGGGGTCTAAGGCACACGGACCGGTGGGAGAGGCGTGGACCTGACCACAGCCCCTCGGCAGCAGAAGGCGGCGTGGAGCGAGGGACCGGCTTTCGCTCCTCGTCCCGGACCAGGAGTCTGCGATTTCCCACTCACTGCTTGAAAACTCACGGTTACCTCTCTTTCTTACAGGGTCATCAAGAGCGTTCAAGTATGTCATATTCAAGGAGCTTAAGGTTAAAACGTTTCTAAGTGCAAAGCATTTAATTAAAAAGATATTGCTCTGAAATGGAAAAAATACCCTCAATGGTAAGTTTCCACAGGCCTGCGACTTACGCGCGAACTGTATTCCACTGGAAGCCGCACCTACCTTCATAGACGTGTTGTACAGCGAAATAAACGAAGTAAACAGATCCAGGTAACGAGTTGTGAAGACCAGTGCAAAGAGGAGCTGGCTCTTCCCGGAGATGCCTGCGGAGACAGCGGAAAGCGTCAGAACGGCGTGAAGAGCTCCGATCCCTGCCGACAACACTGTGCAGGCGCGGCGTGGGGAAAGGGGTGCCCGCCCGGGGTCAAAGGCTGCCGCGGGGCTGACTCCGCACACGAGTGTCCGTTCTTCTTTCCCTGAACGTCCCCGCACACGCTCCTCTGGGGAGGCTCGGGGTGACTCCTGCGAAGTGACCCGACTCTGCCGGAGCCAACACGCCAGGCTGTGCGCTGCTCCAAAGAACATTCGCTTCTCAGGGATGTCCCTCCGGGGGGGGGGGCTCTGCCGTCACTAGTGCTGTCACTGAGGCACCTTTCTCTCCGTCAGGAAGCAAAAGCCGATGGCGACAGACCCGAGGACCGCACGGGACTCCCAACGGCTGAGATGGGGACCCTGCTCAGAAGGGGTCCGAGCAGCAGCCCCTGGTACGGCCTCCAAAGTGAGTTTTTGCGACAGCAGCATTTACTTGGACATGTGACGACTTTTCAAAATTCCACCTCTTAAGACTCACCGCACGGCCTGCCTTGCCCCTGCACAGCCGTCTTCGAAAGCCGCAGGCTCTTCCCCTCCCCTCGAACGTGTCCCCACCTCCACCCACCGACCCACCCCCAGAGCACCGTGGCGGCGCATCCGGACTCGGCAGAGGCCGTCTCGGTCACACGGTGCGCACCGGGCCTTTCCCACACCTGCCTCTGGCCAGATACTCCTGCGGAAGGCCAAGCACTCGGGGTTCCAGCTGCCGGAGGCCGAGCGAACATGCTAAGGAACCCGGGCCTCCCTGCAGGCCGGAAGCCGCCCACCCTCGTCGACACCGGGAGCCTCACGCCACCAGACTTATTTAAGCGTGTTTTTAGCAGCTATGTCACTGCACCCCCAAAACCACATTTCAAATAATAATATTTTACAGAGCAGTTTTGCAGCCTGTTGAAGCTAAACACCTGGCTCTAAGGATGTTACTCCCCGTGTCTGGCTACCTGCAGTTCAAGCCTGCTCACAAAAACACCCGAGCGGAAACCGAACCCGGACCCATCAGTAATGGTAACCAACCGCAAGGGCTAAGGGTGGAGATGCGGACAGTACGCTGCTGTTTTTGCTTCCAGAAAGGAAGACCTCTCCTTTCCTGCCAAGGACCCCCGTCCCAGGGGAGAACCGAAGAGGCTGCTGGGGCACAGACAACAGGAGAGGAGACAGGGCCGGAGGGGGGAGGACGGGGGCCCGTGGGTCACATGTGACGTCTGCTGGAGCCTTGAGAGAGAATTTTCAGTTAATTGCCTATTTGGTTCTTTCCAATATTTTAACTAAAAAACCCACAGTGTACATATGGGCAAACGTTGTGCAAAGGGTCTATTCCAGCGGAACCTGGACAGCCAGGCAGGTCTGACATCCTGTCCTCACTTCCTGCGTCCCTACACTAAACACCAGGTTCTGCCGGGGCACTGCTGCCACGCCCCTTTGCCACCCAAGTCACACGTCACCTCCTCTGGAAAGTCGCCTAGGGAGACCCACCCCTCACTGCTGTTCATTCTGCAACGGGAACGGCCTCACGCCAGCTGCGGCCACGGCTGCTAGGACCGTGCTCAGAGAACACAGGGGGTAAGCGAGTTGCTGTCTCCCCCCACCCCCCACTAGACACGGGGTCTCCAAAGGCCGGGACCTGCCTTACTCCATTTGATGTCATCTGTGCTGAGCACTGGGCCTGACACTCAGCAGGGCTAAGGAAGTATCTGCTGAATGAATGAACAAATGGGCAAAAGAAAATGGAATTCATTTTATTTTTATGTCACGGGGTAATTTCTCCTTTTGTGGTATTTTGGGGCAATACTTCCGAAGAGTTCCTAAGTCACACTGTGTCTCAGACTGCAACAGGCGGTGTGCTCCGGGCTTCGCCCTAATTCACTGCCAGCGACGGTGGGAGAGCCGCGGGAGCAGAGCACGGGGCAGAGGGCGGGGACAGGCAGCGTGTGTCCTGGAGCTTGTCCCGTGGGGCAGAATCCACCCAGGAACCGCCATGCTGGCATCCGAGGGCGCGCACCCGGTGCTACCTTGTTCCTCCTGGCCTGGGATCCTGATAAGCAAGTAGCAGCTCTTCCCTTTAAACAGGAGAGCTGTCCTGTCTCCGCGGGAAGGCAGGAGTCCCCGCTGAAGACACAGGGGCAGGGGCGAGAACCTCCTTCCTGGAGGGAGGCCTGCCGGGAAGCCAGGGGGGCTCCTGTCATCCATTCCTTCTTGTTCTGAGACCCAAGCGTGTCAAGGCTACCGGCTCTCAAGAACACTCACTGCAGCGTATTCCGTGCTCTTCCATTAAACATTCCAACTGGGCTAAACTAGACGGAACAACAGGCAAACAGACCCTTTAAGGCCCTTCCCACCTGCGTTTTGAGCGCGAGCTCCCAGGCCTCTCCGAAGCCCCTTTGCTAGCTCGTCCTGTCCCACGACCACGCAGCGCTCTGTCATTCCTCTGGGAACCGGCAACTCCGTCCATTTTTCCAGGTTTCTTAAAAAAATTTTATTTGTAGGACTATCTTATTATGGATATGAACCCTTTGTCACGCCACTATACTGCCGACTGTTTCTCTCAGTTCCTTGTTTTTTTAACCTGGATGGTGTTCTGCGTCAGTTAACCTGGGAGGCGTCCCACCGCGGCTGGTTGCCGCGCCCATCCCGGAGCAGGGTGTGGGCCACACTCGGGCCAGCGTCTGTGCCGGGCAGCACAGCCGTAGCCCCTGCTTGGAGGGCTCTCACACGCCGCCGGCTGGGCCGCCAGGGAGCCTGTCCGGGCCCTTCCTGCCGCCTCACAGTCACAGGGCTGACTGCTGACACGGTTTAATGCCCTATTTTTAAAATCTTTATATATATACATATATGTATTTTTGTGTGTGTGTGTGTATATATATATATATTTTACTATTTCAAGTAAATTGCAGCTTTCTTGAGAGCAGAAACTTGGATGCCTACAAGCTGCTGCTCCGAATTGTGTCCCCAGTGCCTTGCACACAGTGGGTGGTCACTAAACGTCTGAGAGCAATGAACCCTTGAGAGGCTGGCACTCAGGGACCAGAGATGACAGCTGCTACAAAGAGGGAGGCTGGGAATGTGACTCGAAAGCTTCCGGAAGTGCTCGATGACAACAAAAGACTAGGTGTTTTCCATTTCCTTCAGAAATAAGACGGGCAATCGTGAGACATGCAGGGACACAGCGCGCCCCGGGCACGCGTGGCAGGACAAAGTCCACAACCCGCACAACAACGATCTAGGCAACACGGGGGGCGGGGCGGACTCGGAGAGGACGGATCCCACTGCGGTTTCAGTACAACAGACACTGTTAGTGGCACTGTTAGTGGCTCTCGGCCCACGGGAAACGCGGCCCGAGCCCTTCACCTACAGACCGGCCTTGCTCTTCCGAGGCTGCGCAGCGCGTGGGGCAGGGATGGGGTGACGGCTCGAGCGCCCTGTGGACCCAGCTGTGACGGTCGTTCAGGAATGTGAGAACCTCACATTTCACTCGGGTGCCCTCTGTGTCGACAACGGCAGGCACAGGCACAGGACAACGCCAACACAGACGGGGCTAGACCAAGGCCAGCTCCCCGGCCCCACTCTCGAACTGGTCCCGTCAGGCGGCCGTTCCCGAGCGAGACTGTCAGGAACGCCAGCTCCCACTTCCTCGCCGGCCGGCCTCGCCCCTCACCTGCCAGGTGGAAGCCCTGCGGGTCTGCAGCTGCGGGCGTGTTCACAGCGGGTGCCAGACCCCCACGTGAACCCCAACGCGGGCACCTCCAGAGTGAGAAGCACAACCGGGATATCCGTGTCTCCTGTTCCAGTTATCTGAGAAACTCGTATCAAATTCTGGCTCTTTCAAAAGTCTCTAAACAACTTTTGTAATTTAGGATGGAAAAACAAACCAGCTAGTCAAATTTAACATTTAATTCTGAATAAATAACCTTGGTGATGTTGACTTTTGAAAGGCCAGGAAATCTCCAGGGTACGAACCAAATGCCCCTGAGTCTGACAGTGAGAACCGTTTCCCGACGTCCTGCAACTGCAGACTGACCCCAGGAATACTGGGCAAACACACACGAGCTTAATTCACCGACTTACCTTACTAATTCCTTTGGTCGGAGCGTTTTATATTTTCCTAAATGCTCCTCAATCTCCCAAATGAAAACAGTATTAAAAAACAAACTAAACGAGAAAAAGGACTCATGGACAACGGTGTGGTGATTGCAGGGGGGAGGGGGGTATAAGAGGACTAAATGGTAATAGGCAAAAAGACTCAACAAAGGTTAAATTAAAAAAAATTTTTTAAGGAATTTTCTGTCTGGGGTTGCCCCAACTTCCCCCCAACACCTTACTTCAGATGCACGTTCAGGAGACGCCGCGCTCCAACCTCACAACCTGGCAGCGGCGGGGCTCCCAGACACACACGCAAGAAGACGAAGAGGCGCATCCGAAAATGATGGAGCAGAAATGAAGATCACAAGTAACGTTCCCCGTCGGGGAGGGGGACAAAACGGGTGGCGGTGTCCTGAAGGCATGAACCCCAGTCATAAAGGCAGGCAGGCCCGGGGATGCGGCAGTGACAGCAGTAGCGGTTCTGCACGTTTGAAAGTCGCTAAGACGGCAGACCTTAAAAGTTCTCATCACAAGGGAAAACATTTACCTGCCTGTGGTGACAGATGTTAACTAAACTTAGTACGATAATTATTTTGCAAAACACACACATATCAAATCATTACAGCTGCACACATAAAACAAATACAATGTTGCACGTCAATTACATCTCAATAAAGCTGGGGGGAAGAAAAACATCTTCCGAGTACAACAAAAAAGACCTGAACGACTGGTCTGGCATCAGATGTTTAAACTGAAGTTACTCAGGACAGAATAGACAGATACTTCTTCAGAACCCCTAACTGCAAGTCACCGACCGCCCCCGTTTCGACCCCGGCTCTCCCACGGTGTTCTCGCCCTCCGCAGACTCGGCGCCCTCGTCCACAGGATGGGAACAGTGGCACCCTCCTCACGAGGTCATCTTAAGGACTCCGTGGAAGGAGCCGTACAAGGCACTTAGCTCACTACCTAGTACACAGCAAGCACTTAAATGTCAGCTATGGCAACCGCTGCGATCGCTCTGCTGCCACCAGAAATCACACAACTGAACGACTCTGAACTACGGACACGCTGAGAGATCACCTTCAAGCCTGACACACTGGTTCAGACCCTGGACTTTGTAACACCCATTTTGATTGCTCAAAGGTCTTTTTTGTTTTTGCTTACTTCCTGGAGCTCAGCTGCGCTCCGGGGAGAGGGGTGAGGCCTGAGGACAGCGGTCAAAGATGTGCTGCTACTTTAGACGTGGGAGTTTTTAGAAATCAACCAGGTAAATGGAATCTCTGCCACCCGGGTCCTTTAGGACTCCATCCTTGACTGCCTCCGCAAAAACTAAGTTCTCAAATTCATCAAAAGTTATTTCACTCTGGCCATGGCACCAAAAATAAGTTTAAGGAAGCATTTTTAAAAAGTTTCCATTCTGAAGCCCTGGCTGGTATGGTTCACTGGATTGAGCGCTGGCCCGAGAACCAAAAAGACGCTGCTCTGAAAGTTTGAGGGTTAATAAAATGTAAAACTCCACCGCAGCAAGACTCCTCTCACCGCCTCCCAGCACTGCAGGCATGGAATGGGTACTCCCGGGGAGGGAGTCGCCAACTCACTGGTGACGTGGAGCGAGGGGTTCCAGGAGACCACAGGAGACCTCCGCGGGGTCCTGCGGGCGCCGCAGGTTTCAGAAAACCCGTTATTAGATGGAGGCACTCGGAGCTCGACAAACGAGTGGGTTTCACAAAACAGCATTAACTGTCCCCAGGAAGTTCTTGAGAGACCTCCCCACACCATCTCCCATAGCAGGCGTGATCCTGGACCCGAGAGCTCGGAGCAGAGCCCTCAGAACTCGAAGGCCAGGCCTGACCCTAACCTAAGGGGCCAGTCCTCAAATGGGTAGGGATCGGAGCGAGGTGACCTCTCCGCATCCCCGCCCCACCTACCGCACTCGCACGGGCCTGGCTGCCACGTCAGGCGGAGTTGGCAGCGGGTCCGTCGCCTCCTCCTCCCGCCCGTCCCATTGATTCGCAGGGTCCTCGCACCTCCCGACCCTCACCCGGGCCCCGGCCCAGGCCCGAGCTCAGGCCCGCGGTGAGACGCCCACCGAAGCCCAGGGCGGCGGGCGCGCCTGCCCGAGCCCCCATCCCGTGCCGCCATCCCAACTTTTCAGGCAGAACAGGGCTCCCCGCTGTCGGGTCGGGGCCTTCCGCTCTCCGACCGCTCAAGTTCGGGAGCCGACCGAGTGCGGAGCGGGGCCCAGGACCGCGACATCTCGCCCCGGCCTGAGAGCCCACCCGGACGGGTCGCAGGCCCCCTGGGTCCCGCCGCCCGCGCAGCCGCCGGGGGGCGTGTCGGACCGTGCAGGCCTGCAGGCAGCTGAGCGGCCGCGGTCGGCGGGTCCCTCCGCACAACCGGGTCCCGCAGCCGGGCCCCGGCCCGCCGCTCACCGGCGCAGGAGCGCGTCTTCCAGATTTTCAGCAGCAGGATGACGATGGCCGCCAGGTGGGACAAGTCCCCGGTCAGCCGGAAGATGTTCATGGCGGCGGCGGTCGGCGCGGCTGCCCCGGGGCTCGGCGGCTTAGGCGAAGGCGGCGACCACTAAAAGGAAGCGACGAAGATGGCGAGAGCGGGCGCGACGTGGCCGGGGACGTGGCCAAACTGCCGGCGCGCGCGCGGGGCAGCCTGGGAAAGCAGGCCGCCGCCAGGCCCCGCCCAGACCCCGCCCCTTAAAGGGGGCGCGCCCGAACGCCGGCCGAGCGTGGAGCCCTTTTCCCCGGGCTTCCTCCGGAGGACCCCGACTCCCCTCCAACTTCCCCCTGCGGAGTTTCCGGCTTCTTGAGTGCCAGCGATTTCCTTTAATTTTTGAGATAACACTCCCTTGTGAACGAGTTTTTCCCTTCCACTAATCTTAAGAGCTCTACAGGTTTACTGTATGAAAAAAAATGTAGGAAACAAATAAAAATTAATCCGTGATGGCATCTTTCAAGATAAGATCTGTATTAGGGGTGTCCGGGAGGATGCGGCTTATGAGAGGGTCTGAAGATTCTATCGTGCTGGTGATTCCCTTTGGGAAAGAGCGCAAAAGTAGGTGGAAGAGTGAACAGTTCTGTGGGATGAGAGGGTAAATCACAGGAAAGTACCAACGGAATGGAGCTGACACACGGAATCCTGAACCCCTCGTTCCGAGGAACAGCACTTGGCTTCAGGGTGACTTCACAGGCTCCCCACAGAAAACTGGGTGGTTCCTGCCTTCCGGTCACTAAAGGGCCCGTTCAGGGCGGTTTTCCTAAAACAAAGGGCATCTTCGAAGTAAGTCGTCCGCACCCTTCCATCCAGAACCGCCACCTGGCCCCCAGCACAGCTCCCCTGCTAACTAACGCTGAAAATGCATCACGACCCTTTTCAGGGGGTCCCTCCTACCCCAGGGTAGAATGAATGCAGCAAGTGACGCAAATGTTTTATTTCAGGGGTTGTAAACCCAAGCTGGGCTCCCCCTGGCTCGCAGAAATGTTTTCTTTGGTTCAGAACTGAGCACCTTGTTTTAAGTTTTGAATTGGTTGCCCACATTTCATCGGGACACTTAAAATAAAAATCTGGCCCAGGCTGGCGTGGCTCAGTGGGATAGGCAGCATCTCTCGAACGGAAAGGTCGCCGGTTCTATTCTATTCCTGGTCAGGACACAAGCCTGGGTGGCAGGCCAGCTCCCACCCCCACTCCCCCACCACTGGGGGGTCTGCGAGACAAACGGATCAATGTTTCTCTGGCTCTTTCTCTCTCCCTTCCCCTCTCTCTAAAAATAAATAAGTAAGTAAGTAAGCAAAACTCCGGACACCTGGCTTCCTTTGAGGAGGTCTGAAGATCGGGCAGCACCCCGAGTGACGCGCAAGTCCGTGACTGGAGGGATTAGAGGCTCCCCCTGCAGACGGCATCCCCCCTCCAGCGACTCCGAGCCCAGCCCTCCCCATTGTCTCTCCCCCGTCCCCCCCAACCAGTGTCAGTCACCTGACAGCCTTGTCCTTGTGTCACTGTTTCCTGGCCTCGCCCACATCCTACTTTTGCGCTGTTCATCTGGCCCCTGCAGACTCTTACTTTGCACCCCTGGTTTTAAGGGTCTGGATACAGGTGGCCAAACCGTTTCATAGAAAGGGGACAGTAATTCTCTGGAGCAGCTTGGGAGGCCCCTACCTGGATGTCATTCGCTCTGACTCAATGGGCAGTTATTGAGCACTCGCGGTGTGCAAGGTCTAGAAAGAGCCGGGCCCATGGGAAATCCAGTTGCTGGGTGACAGGGTTATCGGTGAGTAGACACCCGGTAACTAAAGCCTGGGTGTGTGAGAATTTGCCAAGGGAGGGTAAACAGCGCCCAGAGCTGCTTTAATGAAGGTCAGTTAAGATAAGGGCAACAGGTCCTCCTTGTAGCTTCCTGTCAGAGGCCGTGTCAGCTTCGGGGGGGCGATGAGAGGCAAAGCCAGGCGCTGCCATGTGCTGAGAGGTGACTGGATGGTGAGGATGCAGAGGCAGCCGGTGTGGACAACAGCCTGAAAATCTGCCTCTAAGCCCTGGCTGGCATAGCTCAGTGGATTGAACTCGGGCTGCGAACCAAAATGTCGCAGGTTCGATTCCCAGTCAGGGCACATGCCTGGGTTGCAGGCCATGACCCCCAGCAACCGCACATGGATGTTTCTCTCTCTCTTTCTCTCTCCCTTCCCTCTCAAAAAATAAATAAAATCTTTAAATTAAAAAAAAATCTGGCTCTAAAGGGCACCAGCCACTGAGGTCTAAACTGTCCTCAGAGGTGGCAGGAGGGGTGTTTGCGGGGGACAGGGAAGAGCCAGTGGAGGGGGAGTCGTGGCCGCGGGCACACGGAGATGCCTGGGAGCTCAGGGAGGCAGGAGTGCTGTGAGCTGGGGTGAGGCGGGGGCCTGGACAGTGCGGGACGAAGATGGGGGGCAGGCACGGAGGCATCGCAGATGGGGAAGGGGAGAAAGTCCCACTCGGTGGAATCCTTTCTCCCGTCAGCTCAACCCAGGGACCTCTGAAGCCTGCTTCAGACTGGGACCGTCCTACCCCTGGCACCTGATAAGGAAGCGTGATGGACCGAACTGGGTCCCCTCCCCGAAGTCCTGTGTCGAAGTCCTAACCCCCAATACCTCAGAAGGTGGCTGCGTTTGGAGCCGGGGACTTTAAGGCGGTAATTAAGGTTGAATGAGGTCCTATGGGTGAGGCCCTACCCCGATAATATCGGCGTCCTCCTAAGAGGAGGAAGAGACACAGGGATGCACACACACAGAGGGAAGGCCCCGGGAGGGCTCTGTGAGTAGGTGGCCGTCCGCGCGCCCTGGAGAGCAGCCTCAGGAAAAACCAAGCCTGCCCCCACCCTGACCTTGGACTCCCAGCCTCCAGAACAAGGAGAACATAGACCCCTGTTTTTTAAGCCACCCGCTCTGCGGCATTTTGTCACGGTGGTCTGAGCAGGAACAGCGAGTGGTAAGGAGGGAGGTGAGGGCTTTCATGTTGAAGTCACTAGCACCTGTGGCCCTTGGAATAGTAGTATTAAAATTAAAAAGCATGGAAATGATGCTAAACAAAACAAAGACGACACTCCCGCTCAGCGGATGGGCTCTGGGTGTAGACGGACCCAAGTTTTCATAACCTTCCTGAGTGTCAGACTTTTTATTTGTAAAAAGGAGATAACAAAACCCGGGGGGGCGGGGGGGGGGCGTTGTGGAAGTACAATGAGATGAAGTGTGTGACAACCTGGAGCACACCACCTCGCAACCAGGGACCGATGTGACCGGGAAAGGCGGTGTGTAACCAGGCTGTGGCATTGGGTTAGCATTCCTGGGAGACAGCAAGGAGGCGGTGGCGGGTGGGGTGCACACACGCACATTCAGGGCTTTGCACCGACTCAGCTGTGAAACCCACGACATACAACCTCCTAGGAAATCAGACGCAGAGAGGCTGACCCCTAAGATGTTTGCACCCAGCATCATTCCTGGCACAGAGGAGGCAGTCAAAAGGTACTGGCGAATGCATTTATGAATGAAGAGAGTTCACTGAGAAAGTTAAAAGGCTGAACATCTATAACCATTTGTTGATGGGTGGGTTTACTCAACCCTCTTAGTGTTGCAAGAGACAGAAACCCATTCAAACCAGCCTAAGCAAAAAGTAATAATAAAATTTAAAAATTGGCTTGGAAACGAACAAATCCAGAAACCTGCTTCAGGTAAGGTTGGATCCAGGGAAAAAGGGGTGCACAGAGCAATCTCTGTTCTGCCCTCCTGTATTGGCTTTACACCCAGGCAGGCACGCTCTCGGGGGTGGTCTGGGCAGCATTCTACCCTCTGTATGCCCAGCAATTCATCCAAAAGAGAGGAAGCCTCCCTTTCCAAACAGTTCTAACTTGAGTCTTGCAATGTCCCTGAGCCACCCAGCCAGAATCACAAGACCATCCTTATCCAGTAGGTACCACTCCAGGGTGTGGAAATAGGGGAGGGATAATTTCCCAGAGGGAAACCAGGGGGCTTCCCCAGCAGAAGGGCCACTGGTTTCTCACCAGGCACAGGCCAGGGCTGCCCACTGGACTGAGTGTATCTGGAGAGGGGTCAGCTGACTCATGGGTGACCAGGTTAGAGAGAGCGAGAAGCATGCCAGCTGGAGGAAACAGGAGTATAGGTAGCCAGAGCCGGGCTGGGTCCAGGCAGGACCAGGGACACGGAGGAGTTTAAGGAGGCTGGGATCTGTACCTGGTGCCTGGCCGAGGGGGCATGTAGTATACTGATTGCAAAAACGGCCCTAATTCTCACCCACCCCTGGATCCTCTGCAGCATGATTTTGCAGCATCTCCCCTCGAGAGCGGAATGCATTTCCCTTCCCCTGGATCCCAGGCTGGTGTTGTCACTTGCTCTGACAGCAGACTGGGATGGAAGGGACGGTTTGCCAATTCCGCCCTTAGGCCACCCGGGCTCCTCCGCGCCTTTGCGGCGAACCATCCCGGAGCTGGGCCGGAGGACGGGAGACCATGTGAAACCTTCCCAGCCGCCCCAGCCAAGGCCCCAGGCTCGGGAGACAGCCCTGCGTGGTGAGCATTGCAGCCTCGCTGACTCCCACGGGGCCGCAGGTGCTCAAGTGAGTGCACCGAGCCCAGCTCAGAGCAAAACTGCCTGGGGGCCCACAGACTCACGAGCAGTAAGTGGCTGCCGTTTTAAGCAACTGAGTTTTGGGAGGGTTTGTTCCATGGCATTGTGCAGCAAATGGATAACCAACAGAAGGCCTGTTAGGGGAAAGAATCTAGCTAGCGCCCAGCTTGCCGACCCGTGCTCCCGGGCACGGGGCTGGATGGATCTACCAGGTGTTTCTAATTTGCGGGAAAATGCCACACAGGGGTACCCGGGCTGCGGGGTCACACCTGCTCACAGCCTGGCGGAGCCTGTCACCTCCGGCGATCACACGGGCTGTGGAAACGTGTGGACGTTATCCAGCCCGAGCTGCTGGGCAGAAACGTACGCCACTGGCCACGTCTGGGTATGTGCTTCCCCACCCTGGGATTATGCGTTTTCGTTTAGACACTTCTATATGGTGGCTATGAGTGGAGAGCCAAAACAAAATAAAACAAAAACAAAAAACACACCAAAAAACATGGCCTCAAGGAGGGGCTTGTGAGGGACTGGC